AAAATTAATGTTTCTATGCAGGAGTCTTTTTTACATGGGCATCGAAAGACAGTAGTTGTTATCTTTACAGAGCTAGAGTTTGATGAAAGGCCACAAGTTGGATGCCTCCTATCAATATCTACTAAACATAACAGGAACTAATTGTATTTTTGCAGCTGACACTTCACACTGAGAAATAAAAATGGAATGTGATCTCGTCCCCTTGCCAACTGAGACACATCAGCAGGGGAAGCACCTGTAAGAGATTCCCAAAGACAGGACAATTAACAGAACCACACAGGAACTCAGGCATGGTCATTCCCCCAAAGGCCATTCAAAGCCTTACTAATTGTGCCAGAAAATGTACACTGCAAAATTCCCTTACAGACATTAGCTCTTATTTGAATCTATGCATTACACAAATAAATTCTAAGAGAGCATCATATTTTTTAATGCTCTTCAAGACTATTTCTTCTCTGCTCTAGATGTCCTCCTGGGAGAGTTTTGTATTGCAATTCACTGAGAGAGGGTCTTTCTATCCACAGTATCCACCCATGGAGGTAATCTTGCATTTTCTGTCTGATGTGAGCAATAAGGCTTTATGTACAGGTATAAGAAACAAAACAAAAAGAAAACAAGGGGATTGTATCAATATCATATTTACAATCTAAGAGAGAACAAGAAAAAGAAGAGTTAATCCAGCTCTAAGAGACTAAATCAAGTTAAATGAACGAAAATAAAATCATAAGCTAGAAAGCTCATTAAAATAACTAAAATAAAATTAACATTTTTAAGAGTGCTAATTAACCACTGGAACAGTTTACGTTGACATGTGGTAGATTTTTCATCATTTGCATACTTCAGATCTACACGGAGCTTCTTTCCAACAAAGAACACTGCTGTTCACACAGAAGTTGTGTTCAATATGGGAATTATTGTATGAGAGATTCTGATCTTTTCAGGGATACAGGCAGACCAAATGATTGCAGTAGCCTGATCTGACCCTGAAATCTGTGAATTTCCAGCCCCAAATGGCCACATGCAGTTGACGCACCCATAAATGGCACATCTGGTCAACTGCCTGAGGACAACAGAAAATTCCAGCTCAGGGAATCAGAAACACTTGCTCTGGCACAAGTACTTGCAAAAGGCCATTTAACTACGAGCCTGCTCTCATGGGGTTGTGTTCAAAAACTGTCCATGGCCCTAGCTTTTTCTTTCTTTCTTCTATTATGAACAATAAAGAGAAACTGTGTGTACACACACCCTTGTACATACTTTTTTTAAAAGGTTTTGGTTCTTTGTACGATGTCGACTATTAAAAGCCAGTAATCCCCATTGCACAAGTATGCAGGTCTTTGGAGTGTTTGTTGCCTACAGCAGCTACTTAATTGGCAAGTTCTTTTTAAGCAGGTTGAACCAATTAAAAAAATTCTTCAGCTTTAATAAACTGATACCCTACCGCTCACACTAGAATATCCCTTTTGAGAGCTTTACATTGTCCTCATATGTTGTTTTATGTTGGTGCCCCTAGCTCCCAAGAAACATGGAGCTAAAGTGAAAATGCTGAAATGCTTCCAGCATGAAGCTGCTCTTTTATATAATTATGCCTGCTGCTAATAAACCTCCCATTACAGCTATAGCACAGGTTTTGCTAATCCGTTACAAATGATTGGCTGGAATTTAAAAACACTGCTGCAAGTGTACTGGTTTTCACATTGAGCTCATATTGTCAGATTTCAAACACTTTTGCCCTCCATAAGTGACAAGGTGGGTCATTTTACAACAGCTATTACCTAGGGGAAGTGTTGAACTTATCACTTGAACTCTTTTTGGCATTCACCCGCAAAGTACTTGACTGAAAATAACGAGATTGGCTCTGACCATTTCTGGTATCAGTGTGAGCTGGAAATTCAGACATCAGGCTCTAAAACTGGGCTTGCTGCATAAATATCACCACTAACCAGCATTGCCTGTGGTGCTGCAGCTTCCCTGAACGGGTGAACATATAGGTAAATCAGCTTGAAATTTCCAACAAATCTCCTATTAGATAAATTCTAAAAGAAATTCTCATTAAAGATAGGGGAAATTTAGCTAAATAGAGTTTCTCAGGTATTTTGGGAAAAATTCAGCCAGCATAAAGATACACAAACACAGATATGTAAAAATGCAGGTGTTTACATGTGAGCCATCATCTGCATGCCTGTTAACGTCAGTGAAGCTTAGACAGCCAAGCACCTCACCTGACAGTGGACACCTACTCACAGGCCCAGGAAATCACACCTTTGCACCACTGGCTGTAGGGAGTTGAGGTTCATTCAGTTGTTTGTTCCTAAATCTCTGCTGCCCTTCCAGAAGTACTACAGTATCCCGCAAAACCTGCCCCGGCAGCTGCATGAGTATCTCCCAGACTTGCACCATATCCTGCCCAGCCCTGGGTGGATGTCCTAGGCAACTTGAGAACACTGCAAGCAGCACCAGACACCTGAGAGTAAAAAGCAGAGCACACAGCTCACCTGTAGATACATGCATATGAGGGTTGTAACCTTAAACAGCATGTCTGAAGCTGATGAACTGAGGGAGAGCAATTGGTTCTTCTTCCTTGAGCAGCATCTTAAAAAATACAGCAGAAACCTCCACTAGAAATTATCTAGTCCCTTTTTCTCCACAGTAAACGTTCTCTTTACCTCTGTCCCTGCTTTAAGCAGCAGCTAATCAACGAATTAGCAGAAAAAAACTCCCAAACCAATAAGTCTGCTCAGATTCAATTGCACATCACGTCTCCACAATGCCAGGTGACTAGAAAGGCCCAAGATGAAGATAAAATTCTCTCTACAACTCTCCTTACATCACAACTTTAGCATCATTTAGCAAACGCAACCTCTTTACAAACGCAACCACGGAAAGGGCTTTTTGTTGCGCGAGTCACACTTACACACTGCCATCTTGTGTTAACAACCGGGTTTGCTGAACTTGAGAGCTTAGCACACTCTAAATACTTTATCGAGGATCAAAACAGACAGATACAACATCCATAAGGTGGGTTCCCCTGCCTGTTCCCCTCCAGAACAGGAAAGGAGAGGAGGAAGGAGTTTTTATTACTCACATTTGCCGATGTGAATTCACAAACACAGATTTGAAGGAGCCTTGTTTAAAACAGGACTTTAACAAGGGTGAGAAACTCAGCTTCAACTCTCCAAGAGCTTCAACTTCAGCTCTTTGAGGCCCACTAAATTTGAAATTGCACTCGTTTGCTCACAAGCAAGCTAATGAAATAACCCAGTTTTTCACAGACATTTTGTGAGAAAATTAAATTGGAGCCCACATGAAAGTACTTGACACCATTTAGGAAAAGCCAGCCTGGCTCAGAGAGCACCACTCCAGGCTACAGGACCAGTCAGGCAGCAATGCAGACTGCAGGTTGCTGAGTTTTCTCCTCTCTTTCCATTTTTCACCACCAGGCAATTTCCATGCCCAAATGATTCTCAGGAATAAGGAAATGTGACTGGTCTCAAGATGCAAAAGACAGCATGGCCATCTCTGACTTTTCTCACAGCTTTGCTGCACAACACAATGCTGGGAGAGGGAAACCATGGGTAGGTTAGGATAAATTCTCTGGTGGTTTGGAAGCTGAAAAACTTTGACTTGTGACAAAAAAAAAAAAAAGGTAAATTGTGTCTTTCAGTGTATTTCAGGGCTGGTGATGGAGACTGTGGGTATCTCAAATTTGGAGGGGGTGAGAGAGAAGCACTGGTTCATAATCTGATGCTGCCTACAATAAAAGAAGTCTGAAAACTACAGTGTAGGGCGGCATCCACTCCATCTCCATCAGGTATGTGCCTTAACGGAAGGCCAGATCTGCACAGCACCTAGTTTGGGTTCCTATTCTGTCTGAATAGCTCTCAGGGAAGCAAGCATCTTCCACAGGCAGCAGAGAGGATCCCAGGCTCCCAGAGCTGTGGGAGCAGGCAGTGTGACTATCTATCCATACTCTGTATTTGAGGACTAGGGTCTTCATATGTTCTCACCTGTGGTCTACCATGTCATTACTTACCACAACAGAAGAAACCAAATTAAATATCTTTACCAGTCTACTTTAACTGAATACCAAAATCCAAGGCCAAGTCACAAAGGTGGGCATGGTTGATGAGGCATTTTAGATTTTTATGACATTTTTTAAAGGAAAAAATTAAAAATAATGTTTGGCACTTTGTAATTCAGAATTTATTAGCTGGGAGTTCCTTGGCATAGGGCAGCACCCATCTGTTCAGAGGAAAGATCAATAAACCAAAGGAAAACAGGAGGTATGCAGAGCTACAAGCCGGAGAAGTTACAGGAGACCCACACAGATGAAGTTCTTCCATTACACCAAAACAGCATGATCCTCCTTTGTTGCCCTCAGGATCAAGGCCACAATCTCTCTTCCCAATCTGCTAGCTCTCCTATCCACCCCCAAGATCCCTTGAGAGGAAGGAGCACCCTAAACTGCTTTGGAAGCCTCATGCAGCTCTTCACGGTGCCATGTACAAGCTCATACTCAGAAGCCCTCCTACACCTCCCAGCTGTCCTCTTCCTTGGTTTCATCCACAAAATGCTCCCCCAAATTCCTCTGATCTACATCCCATGTTTTCTTCACTGCTTCCAAGGATATGGACACGCAGCACACATTCCAACTACGTTTTCATGAGGAGCAGAACCTAACCCAAAAATATATTTTCTAGCCACAGCAGAGAAGTTTTGGAGAACATCCACCTCTTCCAATTGTGTTTCAGGAAGGAGCACACAGTCTCGTCACTTTTACTGAATGCTGAAGGGAAAAAGCATGAGGAGGTTGATGAGAGATCTACACAAAGAATTTGGCATTGACTACATGGGAAAAGAGAAAAGCAAGAACTATTGTTCTTGCACATATATAGGTGAACAACTTAAATATCTTCCCCGAGATGAAATTAAAACAATTTTGTATTTCAACACATTACCTTAGACATATTTAGCTGAAGAGAAAAAAAAAAAGCTTCTAATAAATGCAACATCAGAATTTTTATTTACAAATTGACTGTTATTCAACAACCATTCTCCACTCAGTTTGTGGAGGAAAAAGTTACATTTTCCAAATGGGAAAAGAAAACTCTCCCCCTTAAATGGATTCCACAGAATATTATGCCAACACCACTGAGCAAACAGGTTATTCTTTGTATTTAAGTTTCAAAAAAGCACATAATTTTATAAACCAGCATATGGAAAGCAAACACACTCATGTGCATTTAAACGCAGCTTCATATTAACCTAGAGAATTCACTTTCAGTATATGTCAAAAAATAAAGACAGCAATTGCAAAAATGTATTTATATTAGCTATTTCTCTAATGCTCATTTCAAGAGCTTAGAAACAAAATACCCTCTTCATATACCATTGGAAAGTCAACTAGTTGATTATAAGCCTCAAAAATATTTTGAAGTTATTACTGAAAATATAGGTATTCTCTCTTTTGCTCTCAGTACTTGAAGCTGAAAATGTGAAAGTATTTCTCCCAGATATTTCCTTACTGCAATTACTTTCTTATAAATAAAAATAGTTATATGAAGAATACAATGTATTGCTATGAAGACTAGACAAGCAAGAGTTACTCTTAGAAAAAACACACATACACAATATATATATTTATAGATCTACATCAGCAGCAATCACCTCTTCTTTTATTTGCAACAGTGGTTTCATATCTTCATTTGCTTCACATGGAGGTTGGTTGTCCAGCTGTTAGAGAGAGACAGAAGAAATTGGTAAGTAAAGTCTAGTAACTGAAGAACCTTCTTGACAACAATTAACATTTCCAAGTTTAAAATAGTCAGAAAACGGTATTTCCAATACTTATTGAAAATTGTAACACAAACTGAAGTATACATTCTGAATCAAGCAATCCAAATTTAATGAAAAATACAAATTTGAGTTTAATCCAATTATAGCACTGCAATTATTTCAGGCCAAGTAATATTCCACAGAACATGCACCTTACCAAGTTTCTAAGAACTATTTTTAGCATTAGCATAGAGAGAGTGTGACAGTTTTTCTAAATTTACCCTTCAATAATGAAATTGAAATTTGCTAAATACCTGTTACAACATAAAGAACTTTTTTTTATTATCTCTCTGCATATCTTTGTGGGCATCTGTCAATACACTTGTGTTCTGCCACAATGTTCCAAGTTCAAACCACAAAATTAACATTAAAATGTGCAAAAATATCACACCATAACATTGCACAGTGAATATTAATAACCCTACAGTTTATCAAACCTTTTTGCCAATATGTTCACGTTCCAAACTAATGAATAATTAGCCGGGCTGATGACAAATGACAACTGCAAAAAAAAGTAACCTGCATCACAGACCAGTGCTGTGTTGCCAATACATTTTCACTGCAGTAATTGCATAGTTGGTTTTTGTATTATTCAAATAGCCGATTTCAATTACTCATCACTAATTTAAATACTTTATTCTGTACCTACAAGTTTGAACAATTCCCGATTTACTTGTATCTCAATTATGTTTTGAGGTACCCACTGGCCCAAGTAGATGCAGTCTGAAGGGAAGGGAATAGAACCATTTCTTTACAGATCAGCTCTGCTTCTGAAAGGCACTGCTGTGACTTTATGGGCTGTAATGTCAAAGACAGACTAAACAGCAATTCATCTTTGATAAAATTACTTATTCAAGTCATTCAGCAATTTTTCCCCTCAAAAGAAAAGACAGAGATAAAAATAACATGAGCAAGCTCCAGAGTGAATCTCCCACAAATCTGGGTGCTTCAAACAGGAACACAATCACTTCAGTGTAGTCCTGCCATCAAGGAGAGACATTCTCCAAACATTAACTCAGAGATATGACCCAGCGCTTTGGATCACCTCCAGATGGAAAGGGGTGATTCTCCTCCTCCTTCCACTGATCACAGTGGAATCCTTGCACTCAACATTAGCCTCTGTGAATGCACTGTTAGCCTCACAAGGTGTGAAGTTTTCTGGTTTTAGCTTGGGCACCACACAATCATTTCTGTGACTTCCCCTTTTTCCTGGAAGCCAAAAAGAGCCTGAAAACAGCAACAGCATCAGATGCAGAGCTTCTCTTTTTCTGAACTAGGTTTCTCAGCCAGCAGCTGCCCAATTCTTGCTGAAATGCTGTAGCATGAGTATCCCCGTTCCCTTCACTGCCCTCTGGTCCACTGTGAGAAAAATGTGCTGGGCTCATAAAGAAACAGGGAGATGTTTCCCAAGAAGTAATTCAGAAATGCTTTCCCTTCCCTGAAATTTATCATCCTAGAGAATTACATATTTGCTAAACAAAAAAGAGCCATATAAAACTCTCAAGACTTGTCAAAATTAGGAGGATGTCTACCATCATCTATGACAGCAGAAAAAAGGACCTCAACACCACTATACAAAGCCTTAACATCATGCTCCAGGAAATCAAAATTCTGCAAACCATAAAAAGGAAAAAAATTATACTGCACCTTTTAATTAAGATCTGTAAGTAAATCAATTCCTCCTGAACTTGTACCTAAATGAATAACCAATTACAGACCTATAATTCCAATAACAATAGCATTGCAAAAAGAAACCAGCATTTGTGCCACCTGCACAGGATAAACTAATAGCTTTCCAGGTATGCATTAGGACTGAATTAAACACATATTTCAGATTACTTTTTAAAAAAAATGTTGACACTTTTTCAAAAAGGCTTCTCTGTTATCAAGACAAGCCTGTTTAGCACCTGACAACTCCCTGACACCATTTTCTCACATCTATGAAGAAAGGAAGATGGCTATACCATGCTGTCTGTTTGAAGCTGCCTAATAACAAGGTGGTAAAATCAGCTACCAGCAAGCAAAAGTTAGGAATGGCTACCCTACAACAGACAGAAACTGGCAATCAGATCTTGCTGAACCTATTACTAATATACCAAATGAAAGCTAAACATAAAAGCTATCAAGTTGTACAGCACAGAGAAGAACTACAGTCATGCACACTGCAGTTGGATTGCCTTACTTTTAAGTCTGATATAGCAGTCGTTGCAGAAGAGTTTGTTGTTTCGGATCCTAACTTCAGCTCCAGAGCGGGATCCACCAAGGTCGCATCCACAGGCAACACACTGTGTCATAGATAAATAATTAGGAACTTCTTTCAAAATACTAAGAAACAAAAATGCTGTTCAAAAGCAGCTCAGATTAAGCTCAACAAAGCTCGACCCATAAACCCACAATCAACTAGAAGCAAATATATAACAATTAGTAGATCAAAATGCAACCAACCCTAAGAAAGTATTTAAAGGTGACGACTGGACAATGAATAGCAGAGATACACCAACTAAGCAAACATAAAGCAGACGGTTTTTAGAGATTAGTTCATTAAATTTAATTTGAACTTTGGACTCTGGCTTGGCACGAAAAAAATTTGTTCTCTAGATGGCAACAGTAACTTTGGCACAGAACACCTGGGTGTGTTACTTGCAGATTTCCATGTGGCACTACATGCTGCTGGTGTCCTCAGTCCTTTGGCACTCAAAGCAGCAAATACTCAGGCACTCCCAATTTCCTGGATTTGCAACATCAAAACAAGTTCTGATTTGGAGAGATGGGGTTGATTTAATTTTTCTTTCATAAACACATAAGGGGCTTGACTGCTTTCATGCTAACATCAAACTATTTAGCTATGGTAGCTAAACATGTATTTGCTGTGAATATGAACCACATCTGGAAGGAATGTAACCCAAAACATAACACTCCCTTTACTGATTCTACAAAGCACAGATAGTTTCCCTGCTTAACCAAGTAATGAATCTTTTGGATGTCAGTCTGTTCAACAGCTCATTAATCTTCAGAAATTTGAAAAACAGAAACTTGGTATTTTCTTGTGTAGGTTAGGAGCTACAGGTGGACTCCCTTGCCCAGAATACGTCTTGCAGAAAGGGAATGGCAACCAGTCCCCACGGATTAGTCCTGTCTCTCCTGCTCAGGCAGGCAGGACCAGGAAGATCTTTGAGTCAATCCCTCGTAATACTCCAGGTGATGCACTTGAGCTGGGCACAGAAGACAAGTGTTCTGAACCAGGCACAGAAGTCTCTTTCTTGAAGTCATGGAAGAAGTAGGGTCCAACAGCATCTTCAAATCAGAGTCTAACTCCTTATCTGGTCCAAGGCCAGGGGAACTAGGACTGCTTTGCCATCTTTTGCAGGCAGGCATTTATTCTTTCAGCTCTGCATATGCCCCAAGCTGATGGGAAATCGTGTAAGTATGTCTCAGTGCCAAGCATGACCTTATATTCCTAGTTTCTGACCATGGCTGAGTAGCACTAAACACAGCTTCTGGTCTGGTTCTCAGTTTTATCCTGCCAGGCTGAACTCTGCAAACATGTCTTTACCTGGAAAACACCATGCAAACATTGTCTGCTGAGATTAGCTTAGAAAGGATGGATCCTCTTAAATGATTCAATTGCCAGGTCCAGGCTGAGATTTTATTTTTTATTAGAGGAGCCGTTTTCTCTGCGAGAAGTGGTTCAGCATCTTCTGATATTTTGCTGCCCGTTCAAAGAAGAACGAACTTTGATCTCACAGTCAAAGTGCTCATCTTACTTATCAAAGTCCTGCTTCTTAGCTCTGGCATTTAAGAAACACTTCTAGAGTCAAGTGCTAAATGCCTGCAGACAGGACTGCCTCATGGAAATATGCATGCACCACGCTGTCAAGAGTAGAAGGCAAAGCAGGTGATTAGTAAGACCCCCTGTGAGCATAACACTGAGTAGCCATGCGTGCTCCTGATTAGTTCCTGTTCCTTCATGATGTGACTCCCAGCTCTCACCTTAAAGCAATGTAAATGATAACAAAGACCAAGAGACTCAATGATCATGGCTGCTCCTTTGCCCAGAACGTTATTACAGTATGAACAGATTTTCTTCCCACTGACTGACCTAAATATAGAATGAAAAACCTTAAAACCAGCTTGAGAAGGTGTAAAAGACAAAGAAAAGTTAACAAATACTTTTTGAAATTAAAAATAAAAAACATATGGGTAAAAAGTGGACTATTATGCTGCTTGGGGAAAATAAACTGAAAATTAATATTATTTACAATAGATCTGAAAGCTAGGGAAAGCTGAAGTGTTAGAATTTAGATCAAATTTACATAGGAACAAATTAAGAAATTCTGTCACATTCTTGGCAGATATTTCATTGTATAAAATAGCTCCTACAAATAAAAAGTGTACTGTTAAGTTTGGAGAGTAAGCACACAGGTTTTGTGCTCCTGTCTTCTTATTTGTGGGGAACTATTCAGAAGGCCAAGACCCACCATCTGCACCTTGTTAGATAAAAGAAGGCTAGGCCTGGACATATCATATTATGTTAACTCCTTGAACATAAGCCCTATGGAGGTCAGTTTCCATAGATCTACCAAGATGTTAGGAAATGGAAGTGAGAACAAGAAAGAAAAACATGGTTAAGGTAATTTTCTTACATTATATAGAACATAAAAGCCTTGCTTTAAAAAACAACAACCAAAAAAGTCAATCACAAGTGCCTGAGAAGTGTAAGAGCTAGTGAAGTAGTGTTCACTGTTGTTATATATAACACATAATTGTGTGGGGATGATTCTCTGTAGTCTTCTCCCAAAGTATTTTTAAAATGTCTCAAGTACGTAAAACAGCAAAGTTATCTACCGTACCGCAACTGAATTCCTTTTCTTTTTTTTTTTCAAAATATGTTGCAATTCTTGCTTTCTCCTCCTAGATTAAAACCAACATCCTACTCTGTAATTCTCCAGGGTCACGGGTTATGAGCATTCCTGAGTGCTCCTCAAGATGATATTGGCCACATGCCAAGAAGGGGGGAAGAGAGACCAAAATGAGGGTCATAAAGCGTGGGTTTCAGGAATCTTTTGTTAAAACAAACCAAGGAAAATAAATGTCAGAAATGCCATCTGGAATAGGCTTTGACTAATCATTTTGGTAACCAACACACAGCTCAGAGACTGCAGATTTATTATTCCAGTTCCTTTGTTTTTTTAACCAGTGTCAAGCAGTGATGACAAAATCGTGGAATTTTTTGAGTGATTGGAGTAGGGAGGTAATATGAACCTGTATTTCCACTGTCCCCTCCAGCCAGAAAACTCCAGGTACTTGTTAATCTACATTATGGACAAGAATGCTGCTGTAGACCACCATATACATGCTCTTTAGCACTGCCCAGAATTCGTACCTTCCCAGTAAAAGGGTACACACTCACCTGCTGCGTGTCTGGGACCCTGGCTGGGAAGCAGAGAGGGGAGACTGAGCCCGAGGGGCTGTCTGAGACACGGATGGGGCTCTCGCCGAGGTGGCCACAGGAGGGGCTTTGCTGGAGGAAGGAGTGCACATGTAGGCTCGGTTTGAAGTGGACACCGGACGACTAAAATCTTGACTAGAAGATAGAGATGAAGAGGAGGCAGACTGGTTCAGCCATGAGTGGTGCCTCCACGAGCTTGTTCTTGAAGAATCAAGATTGTCCAAAGACTCCCCCCTGCAACAGAGGTACACGTATCTCAAATGTAAATGGCAGTACGGCTGGAGCAAAAGAGCTATATTCTGATTTTTTAAAAGAGAAAATCACTATCCTAGCATCTTTAAGACTTTCTAGCATGAATATGTTTGTCCGATCACTCTGAGCAATGTTCTTCACACACTAATTTAAAATCTATGAGTAGCAAATTATCCTTTGTGCCCAGCCCTAGTTCTCATGGGAAAAAGCAGGTGAGGCAAAAGAGAGGTGGCACTTAATGACTACTTGATAAAAGCAAAACACTCTTCACTGCAGCTTTATCAGAGTGAACTGTATCAAAATCCACAGAACAGCAAGAGACCTCAGATACCAGGTTTGTTTTTGTTTTCTCCATGGGATACCAGATTGAAAGTAACAATCCACCCAGTCCGGATAGCATCACCTAGGCACAAGGTGTTGGTCGAATAGCCAAACACTCTCCTGACTGATAACTCGGCTGTTTCCTAAGTGACAAATCTAACATTCATGCATTAAATAAAGAAAAAAAAAACCCATCCAAACTTTCTGACATATTTCTACATTAAAAAAGGTATACACCTTAGCCATAATAATTAATTTCCACAGTAAATTGTTATGCTGAAATTCTTAAGCACATCTGTCAATGACAAGGCACACCACTGATTTCTATTGCTGCTATACCAACCACAAAATAAGCAGCTGAGTTATTTACAGGGTATATTCACATTCCTTACTTGCAAAAAAACCACTTAATCCCAGCTGTAATATAGCTACTTTCTTCCATCTGTGCTGCTATGCAGTTTACCTTACAGCATTTCACAGCTCTCTGTGCTCTGTAATACAACCTGAAGTTCAGAATAACCAAACAAAAATATTTGATGAGAGACAAAGTTAATTTTTAATGTGATTCCTACCTCCTCATACTATTGCTGTACAGACTAATGGGCTCCTTATGTACACTGGAACTGCGCTGCCTTATCCAGCTGCTGTCTGTGTGTAGAGATGTTTTCTTTCTCATTTCCTGAAGGATTTGCTGTCTCTCCAACTCTGCTGCAGAGAGGTTTTGTTCCTTCTGAGACTTCTTCTGTGACTCACCCGTGTTCCAGGACCTCTCCGAAAACCTGCTCTGGGTACCTGTGTGGACAACATGTGCAAACTTCAGCCAGACACCTTAAGGCACAAAAGTAGTTATCATGGTGTCAGAGCTCTGGCTAGAACTCCAAAAGCTACACTTCTTCACTATATTTACAAGTTTCTCCGGTTCTGTTTTACAGATGGGTAACCTGTACCAAACTTGGCAATACATTATTATAAATTTTTAATTTGTATTTCCATTAATGTGGCCTTTTACATAATCCTTAACTTAAATACGAGTATTTTCTTTCACTTCTTAAGTGTATACGCATTGATATTTCCTTGTACATATATATATATACACACATGTACTTTTAAAAGGGCGTGGTCTCTTAGTGCCATAATTTGGACTCTTCCTCTAATACAAACTGAACCATGTATAAAATACACAGCTGAATAGCGGGAAACCTTCCTTTCCTTTAAGAGTTCATACTCTCTTCTTCCATAAGTTGTCTCTGTTTACAAGAACTTCTTTCCTCATTCAAGGCACTAAACACAGTGCTTATCTTGCCTTAGATAGATATATAGGGGAGAGGGAAATCCTTCAGATAACTTCTCTATTATTTGGATGTTGTGTTAATTGCTCAGTTGAAATGAGATTTATAGTATAGATAGCCTTTGAAAATTTGGAAGTGGAAATAAATAAACCATCTTTCTCCAATAGGTATTGACATATCAGAAGGCAACAATTTTTTACTTCCTAGATCCAGTAGCCATTCTTTACAGGAAGACTAATTAAGAAAATTACTGAGCAATAAGTCATTCAATTGAAATTTCCATCCTTTAAATAGTGCTCTGACTATTAGATTTATTGTTATCACTATAGCAATATATTATATCAATATTACCATTATAAAATATTGTGGGAGTTTACTTGCTCTTAAGTTTCAATGACCATGCCTTAATGTATGAAAGCAACATCATAAATCTGCAATATATCCTCTAATACAACATTTACTTTTCTTTGATTACTTACGACTTTTTTTAACCATGTTTTAGACACAGGAATATCTTGCAGGCATTTTCTATTGTAACATATTTTTAAATCTGGTTTGTTTGTTTGCTTTACACACATTCCTCTAACATAACTGAAGTCATTTAAGTAAACTGGAATACAAGACACAAGCCACTGTAATAATATTGAAAGCTGACTTTTAGCTCTGTTACTCCTACTAACAGAAATAAGGAAGACAAACAGTTGTATTAAATATGCTAGTATCTTGGTATGTGCAGATCTTTTTTGTTGACAGAGTCAACATATCAAAAACATACACATCTTCAATGATGTATCAACATGATTGGTTTAATCTCATAAATATCAATCATTAAAATTTAGGCATCTAAAAGCTGTTCGTAATCACTGCTACAGTCTTCAATAGAGAAGTTAATCATATTTGTCCTAGGTTTATATGTTGATTATATGAATTTCCTCTTGCTGTTGAAAATTCATTAAAGGAGGGCATGGTACGAATTTGATTTACAACATAGCTATCAAAAAGCACTCTGACAATTAATTTTCTTAGGATGACTATGTGTAATACATCTTATTTTTTTCTCCTACGCTTCCCCCTCCCCAGTAAATTTTAAAATAACGGAAACTAAACAGTACTTACCATTTCTGATTGTGTTGAAGTCATTCAGTTCTGAAGTCGACTTGGACTTATTCCTAAGGATATAGAAAACATTCATTTCTCTGTCTTAACTAGGAGACCTCATCACAGACAAAGATCTTATCATTGCATACCATAGATCCACAGACCCTTTTTTTTTCACCATCCCTTCCATCAACAACTTATGCTGTACTTAAAACAGGAGACAAAAATATCCAAAGAAAGACCAAAAGGATATTAAGGGGAAAAGAGATGTCAATATTTAGATATCAACAGGTAATGACCAACTAAAAGTTAAGATTTTGTACTGAAAGTTCCCAGTGCTTCAGGTATAAGGGACTGGTCATTGTATTTACTTAAATAAAAACACATAAAAACCAAAGTCCTTCCCCATGGAAGCTTTGTGAAGACTACAGTTGGACAAAGGAGTGAGAACTTTCAAAGCATATTTATAAATTATTTGGCTTTGTGAGAAACTTAAATGATACTTTAGCACTGCTACCAGACTATAAACAAAACAACTCCTCAAACACTGCATGCAAATTGTTCTTGGAAAATTTCTTGTTCACCCACCAGCATAATTTTCTAATGAGTTTTCACCAAGAAATGTCATTCAACAAATGTCATATACAGCAAGACAAATGGCAAAAAGTTAGCTTTATAATAGTATGGAGCAGCACCTTCAGCAACATCTCTCTGCTGAATTATTAGTCTCAAGTAATACAGTCAGTTTTTTAGTTTAAAATAACTCACAAAGGAACAGAAATCCTTTGCCGAGTCACAACTCACAGCTGCTACATTAATGCGTTTACACATACAGCATTGGCTTTATAGCAGCATTTTGAAGGAGTCTTGTCCTTTATCTATAGACAAATGATGCATAAACTACATCACATTTCTTGCTCCCATAAGTTCTTACTGTCTGTCCTATGGTGCAGACCTATTTTTATTATCTGTTTGGAAAGATGCAACAATTTCATAGCTACCTGTAGTAAATGAGAGCTGTAAAAAGCAGGAAAGCCTTGCCCAGGATGATTTTAGCACCTGAGTGTCCTTGTCACACATATATCCAAGATGTAACTATTTAGTGCAGGCACTTTCTGCAGTTAAATTTAGATCTTTCATTAGTAACAGATCCATTGAGTTGTACCCTGTAAGTTTTGGGGTTCCTCTTTATATAAACAAGGTATGCTCACTCCAACTACAAAAACTGGTCAAATACACAGAAGTCATCTTTCAGAACTATTGTGAGATGCAATCTAAACCACTTGATTTGTAAAGTAAGAGAGTATAACTTAAAAATAACTTGTGTAACTTAAAAAGTCGCACATCTTCTATCTCCCTGATAAATATGCTGCTGCTGCCTCCAACTTCCCTTCTTGTTTACTCTCTCTTAAGTCTCTCTTAAGTTGCACAACCCTGATTGGGATGATTGCACCTTAGTTTGTATAGCACGTTATGACACAAGCACAATTGTATCTGAAATTATTTTCCAGCCGGGTAAGTCTAGTACCACCCACATATTTACTTCCTTACAGTTCTGTTTCTCCCAGTAAAATACCACTGACTAACTGCTGCTTACAACACTGTGTATCATTTGCCAAAAGTTTGGCAGCTTGTTTTTTCAATATGAAAACAAGCCATAAAAACTGCAAAACACAGCAGCAATCCAAAGCGTATGCTGCCATTAATAAAGTTTATTAGAAGTTTAAAAGCCTTCTGACAAAGAAATGGTGATGTTACAGTCCTGTGCTGATATTCAGTATCACACGCACCTGTCAGCAAATGACTGGTCAGGTTGCTCCTCAATGGTTTTAGAAACTTCATAACGCTCATAATGCCTATTGAAAAAAAGATACATTATGTTCATATACAGAAAAAGACACACACACATACATATAAATAGTTCCTACTGAAAATATTCAAAATAGATCCTGAAGGGGAAAAAAAATCTAGAGAAAAAACAGTTAAAGTTCTAAGGAGGTTTAATTTTATCAATCAGAAATACAACCAACAAAAGAAGACAGAAAAAGAAAGGTTATCAGAAAAACTGCCAGAAATTACATTTTTGCAAAGTGACAAAACTAGCATGTCAAAATGGTTATTGCTGAAGATGTTTCAGCCTATATATTTATTCATTATTACCTGTCAATGAGAGGATGGCCAGCTCGATCCTCTATTGTTTTAGATACTTCATAGCGCTCATAATGTCTAGAGGCAAAATAAAGACAAATGAAAATACATATTAAACAAAAAAATATTCTAGAAATTAAACAAACACTAAGTATGCATAGAGAAAACTAAGAAAGTTCAGGTACGTTAACTAGAAACATGAAAATCTATGACTTTAGGATGCTGCAAAAATTACAAGCATCAGTATACAACAGTGATTATCTCATCTATTCCAAAGCTAGAAGGCAAATTTTGTTCAACCACAGCAGTTCCCTAAAAATTACATTTATATTCTAGAAAATTGTATAGGTACAGTTTGTAAACTCACTAAGTTCCACAGACAATGCTCTTCAGCTGCCCGTCCCCAACCTCAGTGCTCTTTGCAGCACGTATCATGCCCTTGCAGGTGTTTATATAACATTTCAGATTTCAAGTCCTATCCTTGAATATCATCTTAAAGCAAATATTTAACATCAGATATTTTAAAGTCCAGTTTCACTGAACTTGCTTCTTTACTGTTAAGCAAAGCCACCCATGTTTAGTAAAACACATCCTTTGGCAGCAGCAACCTCAGAAGCAATGAAATTCCCATGGACTAGAGCATATATCAAGGATTTAGATATGCAGATATTACAGCAGCTTAATAAGTTACCACGCAAAGCCCTATTATTTTGCAACGGGGGCAAGCTAAAACTGTGGAGATATTCTGGCTCAGTTGCCAAGAAGAACCTGTTCAGCCATTGTAACAACTGTGCCTCTGCTTTGCTCAGCAGGCATATCAAGTAGCAGTCATTTAGAATGAGCTAAAGTAACTCTAGGTCTTACAATCTCCTCTGCAAATACATGCAATTTTTGTAATCATATTATCTTTTCCTAAGACTTAACTTGATACCATGCGTTATCTTCAGTCATCTCTTATTACTTACATAAGAACAGGAGAAAAACCTCAAGAGAAACCACAAAGCTAGTCATACACAAGGCTGTAAGCTAAATGCACACAAAATACGAAAAAGTTACTGGTTTATTCTGTTTGAGACAGATTAATTTCCTGTGACATTAGTCTGAAAACTTCTGGGCAAGAATACAAACTTGCAAACTAATAACTGGGGATTTTTTTGTTTGCTTGCGTTTTTTTAAACCAAGCTGTGGAAGAAGGTAGTGAGAGCAACGGATATTTCTAACAGGCAAGACAGTATCTGTTCACTCACATACCATGATATCCTTCACTAACAAGTTAACCCAGTAGTTAAATTGCAATTAAACTTTATTGTTACACTGTTGAATTAAAATGAGAGAGAAACCTGCAAAATCAGTCATGCATTTGTTGGAAAAGCATTAACTTGGTATTTCTTCTGAAACCCTGTATATTGAGTCACTGGCTCTCAGTTTACAGGCTTGTGCACAGTTCTTACAAAATGTTCACAACTAAGTGCTTCATGTCATCTTTGATTTGGCTGTAATTACTGTATTTAGACTTCCCATTTAAAAAAAAAAAGAGTTGAAGTGGATTAATATAGCACTTGATTCATAGGGCAAGACTTTGTGTTATGCCTTATCCTTCTGTCTTTAGAAAGACTCTCCTACAGTATCTTGCACTGACTGATTACAGTATGAAACTTACATGAATATCCTTATATATCCAGGACAGACACACTCCCATTAGAAGTATATTTGAATTTGCAGAAGGAAGAGAGAGTAAATCCTATCACAAGTGCACACCTTTGGTACTGAGGCATCTCCACTGACACCTCCCTTTGCCTTTCAGCCTGACGTTTCTGTTCCTCCATCTCTGCCCACCGCCTCTGTTCCTCAGCATATTGCTGCTCCCTCTCTTTACGTTGTCTCTCAAGCTCCAACTCTTGGAGTTTTTTTTCTTGCTCAAAACGCAGGGTTGCTTCCTCCTGGATCCTCCGTTCCTCCTGAAGCCTCCTCCTTCCTTCTTCCTCACGCAGCAAGCTCACTGCCAGCTCTCTTCCTCCATCTCCTTCTGGCTCCTCAGGAATATTTGCTTCAGGGCTTGCTCTCCAGCTGGACACAGATGGAGCACGAGAAGTGACAGATGTCGTATTTAAAGTTAGAACAGTCTGCTCCTGTAACAAAGAAAAAAAAATAATGTTTTTAGGGAAAGGAGCCATTTTTTAAATAGGCTGCTCACTCAGAAAAGTTAATTTATTCCATAAGAGAAGACTGCGAAAAGCATCCCCGACACTCTCAGTGCAAGATGCAGGGTGTACTTTGGTTTCATGTTTTGAGTGCCTGCTAACATGTTCTCCTAACTCAAGAGCTTCATTCCACACAGCAGCCTTAGCAAGCGCTAGAGGCAGCGCAGCCACAACTATGTGAAACATTCTGCTTTCTAAAGTATCACTTACATGTCAAGACATCCCTTCCCCACTTAAATACCCATGGAAAACAAACCCTTCCATGATACCCAGCATTTCTCCCTACTGTTTTCACTTAGAAACCTGAGACCTACTTAAGAGTGTATACACAAAGACATACACTGCAAGTGTATATCAAACCAATGAATTTCACATGAATCCTCATGTGGAGGAACCTCCTACTCTCCTCCATTCTCCTACCATTTCAAAGTCAAGCCTCAGACCTACCACCCTATGACTCTTCTCTCAAAGATGAGAAAAGGTTTTTCAGTGGTCAAAAGATGTTTTAGTTGCAGAGACCGAATAATGTTTATGGGTCCATCAAAACCTCTAATGATAGGAAAAATATGAAATGGTTTACATTCTTGTACAACAAAGTCCTCTAACAGCTCAAAAAGCTTTCTTGTTGAAGTCCTAAGCCTTAAATTATTGTCTATTTATTCATCACTATAAACACAACCAGTCTAGCTTGGATGCCTGAAGTAGCACTCACATAGCAATCAAGATGAGATACCTCAGACAGTGCCCATACTCAGGAAGAAACTTGTTCATCTTCCCATAAACAACAGCCACAAAAGTCAGCATCTATAGGAACTACATGCATTCAATGTGTTAAAACATATGATAGGAAATCTGAAGTTGATTTGGTATGTAAATTTATCAGAGCTAAGATGAACTGGCTGTCAGTAACACATCAGGCACTTACGAACATGCTTGATGATCAAGTACTGAAGCAGAATTTCAACAAGTAGCATGGCAGGTAAATAAACAGGAAAGGTGACCATTTCTGGCCACAATAATTAACACATGCTGTAACTTTTTGCTAACATATTTCTGGTGGTAAATTACATAACCAATCCACAAGTAAAAGGGTCAAATTCATCATCTCAAAACATCTCATTTACTCTTTCCATCCCATTTTTGCAACCTCTTTCTACCAAGTCATAGCCAACAGTTTGTTTTCCAAAGTGAGAAGACAAATGAGAGAGAAATTAATTATTTGCCTACTTGCATGCATCTCATATAAGGGAAAAAAGTCCTCATGAAACTAGTCAGTGAAGCCTTATTCATAGCCTACCTCATCAAAATACTTGGAGCTCTCTTTTTCTGCTTCTTGCTTAGCTCGTAGCCATTCTTCCCTCAGTTTTTCTTGTTCACGTTGGTATTTCTCCTGTTAAGTTAGATTGAAGTTAAATATGCAAATAAGAAACATGATATTTTTTATTTGCGTTAAAATTTACTACTGGTATTTAAATGTGTTTTTTAACAGACCAGGGTTGTAAAAACACGCATGAATTCCTCTCGAACATTATGTCTGCCACAAATTAAGTCCTGGCTCAAATACAATTCAAAGGAGTTCTATAATTGATTTTGGAGAATCCATGCTTATTACATGGTAAGTCTCCCAACAACTGATCTCATATCTGTTATATTCCCTGTCCTCCAGTTTAGTTACCATTGAACAAAAAATCAGCTATCTAAGGTATTTCTGGAAAGACAGAGTGATTATATTTAACTTGGATCTGGACACATTAATATGGTAAATATAAAGTGATCACTAAGTGAAATATGAGGCAGTGATTTGGTCTGAGCAAGAACTCTCGGTTCTTTTGAAACGTTACCTAAAAAAAACCCAATTTCTGGACATCCAAATTTGTCTTATGACTAGATTTGGTATGAAATTGATATACTGTCTTAAAGCATTACTCAAGGCATACAGTAAATGTTTTGGTGGTTTTGTCAGTCACCACTTATATCTAGGGAAAAGCAAAATATTTAATGATGTCAAAAGTATTCCTTCTAAGATGCTGGAAATAAACAAAGAGAGATTTTGCTTCCTTTCTTTGTATTTAAAAATTCTTTACTAGGATCACAGGGAAGAGAAAGATTATTACTCTTGCCAAATTTACTACTTCAGGACTAAAAAAGAAGAAGCAAAGAAAAGAAAAGTAATAGCAGATAGGTGAGTCTGCTCTCAAGAAAGGGGAGCCAAAGTTTACATTCTTTAAAGCCATATCTTCAGGCATCAAATGGAGCATCCAAACCATAACAGAGACCACAGATAAGTTTAGGAAGGTACAGCTGTTGCTTGGCAGAGTTTGTAAGCTAAAAGGAACAACAAAAGATCAAACATCCAAAAAAGCAACAGAGTTGCTACGCTGTACTTTGACATCACAAATTTTTGCTGAATGCACCAAACTTATTTAGAGTTTTAAACTTGTGAAGAATAAATGATGTTCACTGATGTCTCTCTTAGCCATCAGATAACAAACTTTAGTTTAAATTGCAGAGATGTGTCTTTCTGAACGTGGTTGAACATGCTTATGCTTTATTGAGCTGAGGTCTTTGCAGAGACATATGCTTGGGTTTTTTGTGCTATTCTAAGATGACAAACATTGCCCCTTTCCTCTGCAACACTCTCCTCCAGCTCAAGCAACTGGTTATCAAGGTGGTTTTGCATTAGCAAGTCCAGCTTTCTGACTCACAGAGGTCCTGGGAACCAGGTTGATTCCAAGGGATTAGCTGATTGCTAAATGACAGGATTCTAGCAGGCGCCTAACCGTGGCACCAGCTGCCTCCTCTTCATATACGAATATAAGGCAGTATTGCTAACTGAAGGTAAAACTCAGGCTAGAGGCAATTTTCCTAAGGGGAAAAAAATAAAACTCATAATCAAAAGTGAAGATTATTGCCCTTTATGTCTTCACTTATCCTTTAAATTCTTTAGCCAGTAAGGACATACCAGCCTTGTGAAGATTGAGCACTTCTGGCTATAGTGAATACACATTCTAGGTTTGATTTTATGAAGCTCACTAATGCATTGTCCTCTTTTTTCTGAATAACTGCTAGCATGTGCAGCCCAGAAAACATATCTGAGAATCTCCTCAGGCAATCAGTAAGAAAAATTACAGAGGTCACATGATACTTTTCTTTCGTAACAGTTGCTGCACACAAGGGATTGACAGCCCATGATTATGAAGATCAATTATACCTGCAATAAACGGTCCTGCTCTTTTTGCCATTTTTCCTGTCGTTTTCGCTCTTCCTCTTGATCCCAAACCCGACGACTAGGAGCACTAATGGATGGGACTGGGAGCTAATATAGCACAAAAATGAAATAATATTATCCTCTTCCGTGTAATCAACACTCTACATTTTAAAACATAATTTTTAAAGTGAGAAATAGAAGCCATTACAAACACTCGAACTTTATAGTGACAAGGACCTAAATTAGCCTTTTCTTCAAACGGACAGAGAGCAACAAATTGGAAAATCTTAGTACTCTCAGATTTGATCAAAATTTTAAAGAAGTATAAAAGGCAACAGAAAGCAGTGGGCTTCCTGAAAAGACCAGGATTAAAGAAGTAATCAGTAGTTCATAAACAGCACTTACATCAGGCATTGCAGGCTCTGGGCCTCCTGTGAGATTTGGAAGGCAAGAAAGAGAAATCATTAGACCCACACATACTAACTACTGCAAGACTTGTGTAACTTTGGCAAGTCAGTTTTAATTTTTGCTTCCTTAGTAAGACATGCTTGCATTTGCCCCACTTAACCTACTCAGGGGCAGAATTTATTAGGTGCTTTCAACTAAATGTGCACAATTGTTTAAAAGCTTTACATGCTTACAAGTGCCATCAGCAATTGCTTGAATTAGCAGTACATCTCCAACTGTGGCAATATAGAGGCTCTTTACTATACCTCTCCTATTATTACTGTGAAACCCAACTGTTTAGCATGACCCAGAATGTGGCACCAAGGTAGAGAAGCTAATCACCTACTGCCCTTGACATGAATTAAGACCAAGAGACATCCACTGGCAACTTCTCTACCACAAAACCATGTATTTCTCCTTTCCAACTTTCCTCCTTTCCCACTCCCCAAAGCACACACTTGAATTCAGTGAAGTTGTCACCTTTCACCACAAACCTTATGCTACTTGAGGCTATCACACTTGGACTTAATCATCTTGTGCCAAGATGATTAACAGAGAGAGACGTGTATTATGCTAACATATTAAAAGTCAAGAAAATGTGGAGAAGTACAAATTTAAGTATAATCCTTTCTCGAGCAATATCACTTTTTTTGTTTGTTTACAGTGTAATTGTTACCTAGCTCTCCAAATTTAAAAAGTTTAATCTCCAATAAAACCAAAAAGTTACAACAGATTTCTGAAGTAGGACCACATGAAGTGGAAAAAAGGTCAAACTTCGGATACAAAAGATAATGAGGCTAGTGTCCATTCTATATATGCACAATTTTGTTGTCATTGTCAGATCTGAACAGCCACAGCGGCAACAGGACAAACAGCTTGATCTATTGCAATTGCGCCAGGAGATCCTAAAGGGAGGCACAGACAGCACCTATCTTTGCTCCCCTCTTCTCTCATCCCTGTAAGTTTATGCTGAACTGCACGGGTCTACAAAGATGAATCTTTCATATAACTGTAAAGCCGAAGTGTCAAAAACTTAAAATTAACATAACTATATTGAATGTACAGTCTAGAACCACAACCTTGTTCTCCCCCTCAAGCAGAGATGAAATACTTAAAATATTGCTAAAAAACTAATTAAAATAAAAACGAATTTTCTGGCCAGCCATAAAATAAAAATCAACCAACAAAAAAAACCCCCAACACCAACAAAACAACCAACAACAAAATACCACCATACAGACACAATTCAGCAGAAGTATTTAAAAGCAAACAGAACCACAAACAGATATATGCTGTGGCACTTCACAGTCACTTTTGTCAAAGAGTCATCACCACTAAAGGCAAAATCCTGGCCCCACTCAAACCATTGGCAAAATTCAGCTGAAGTTCCAAAGGGCCAGAATTTCCCTCTTCCAGGCTACAGCAAAACAGCAAGGCATACATAGCCTGAAGACAGCATAAGACATATAACATTAGTGGAAGTATGTGAGCTGTGACATGCAGAACACTGAAAAGCAACCTACAAAACCAAAATTGAGTGCCTCATTTTCTGCCTTTAAAAGCTAGCATATTAAATTAAAAATTTATATCGGTCTTCTTGGGATCTTGCGATATCACCACAGACTGGAAAGCCAGCAGAGGCCTTTTTCCATCAATTTACATGAAAGCACAGAGCTGCAACTCAAGATAAACTCAAATCCAGAGTTACGTATTTTATCAACAGCTCTGACATCTTCACTAAACCTCTGCTGGAATATTCACCATTATTCCTGTTTTGTAGGTAGTAGCAAACCAGACCAAAGAGTGCTATCCTTCTTACTTCTAACCAGTGGAAAAAAAAAGGATGAAGGACATAGAAGAGATTTAAACAGTTATAGATGTAAAAGAACACACAAAGACCCATTACCACAAAGGTAGACCCATGAATTGTAAGAATAACCTGATGACCCTGGGAAAAGAAGGGAAATTCATTATGTTGCTTCATTATAACTGCCACGAACAATGCTGAAGAGGTGGAGCACCCAGCACCAGACTTGTTAGGAAGAGTATGCAGCAGGAACAATTTCATGGAAGTACATGAAATGTTAGCTCTTTGATTTACCTTGTTCAAAAAATTGTGACCGTCTTTTTAAGTTTTTCAAAGAAATAGGTTCAGATGCTATTTGAAAAATACAAAGAACACAAACAAGTCAATGAGGTGCCTTTTTTTTTTAAGATTATAACCACTGGATAAGAAACTTGCTAGTCCTCTCATCTCGAGCAACATCACTTCAGAAAAACAAAAAGCCTCTGCAATACCGAGTAAAACCTTAGTAGGTTACATCATATACTGATTAGTATTTCATTTTATCACTAACAATGTCCAACTATAACAATCGTAGAAGTGTCAAACTTGGACTCAGAGTCTCCCTGTCTAATTTAAGCCTCCCTGACTGGGATATCACATTGGAATGAGGAGCCTAATCACCATTTCAGGTCATCAGAAAGGCATCTCCAGAGGGCAACTGATATCTTGGGGGAATTCTTTTATAAATTACCATGTGTACTCAAGTTAAAATGAAACACAAAGTTCCTATTTAAGGATTATTATTCCATTAGGAAGTATACATACCTGGTTTCTCTCACTGTTGTCAAGTAAGGTTATAACTGCTCACAGTATTGTAAGTAATTATTATTCATACAGGAATAATCAATATCATTCTCCAGGAATAAAAGTAAAATAATAATAGTGAAACAGCTGCTATCCCTAAAACCTCACAACTGAAATGAGGGTGGGGGGGAATACCAAAAGTTGAACACTCTTTACACTCTTCCTGGGCACTGAAATAAATCAATACTAATACTGACTCAGTCTCTACACAATGCAGTAGCAATTACAATAAATTGTGTGCTTTCTTCTCTTTCACCCCTACCACACAATAAATTTATAAACACTAATGAAAAGGCAGGGGGGTTTGTTACAGCTTTTTTTGTCAGTTCTCAAACTGCCTAGCATGTCATGGAAGCAAACTACACCCAGTTTAGATGCAACAACATGTCTGTGGTATCTGTCTAGCTTTCAGTTTATTAAGGTCTCACTTCACCCACTGTATAAAGCTTGCAATTATTACAGGTTTAACATCTCTGCTTGTTGCAAATGACACAATTAGCAGATGAATAGCAACAGTGGTTTACCTCTTTGTTCATTAGGGCCAAGATCTCCTTGTGTTCCATTTATCAATTTTGTTTCTGTATCCTGAAAAATTAAAAAAAAAAAAAAAAAAGAGGTCTTTTTTTTTTTCCTTTTTTTTTTTTGGAAGTTTATCCAGTTACACATCTTCCCTGACAGGAACTATACATCATGAAACATTTTATAACATTTTCCATAGAAAGATACAAAACAATCTAAAACTTCCTGAGTGTATTTTATAATGAGGCAACCACAGGCATTTGAGGGAATCAATAAGCAACTGTGAATTGCTGCAGAAATAAAAAAAACATTAGTTTGCAAGAAAATGCCAGAAGCCAAGATCTTTCTATTTCAGCTCCTTGGCATGCGGGTTGTTATTTATAAGTAATTTGAAATCTCGTATACGCTTGTTCTTTGGGCTGCAACTTCCATTTATGCTAATAACACAGGTCAAAGTCTTCTCTAAAGAAAAAAACACATTATATGTTTTAGTTAAAATATAGTCTGCACATGTTTTAATATCATTTACTGGTGTCCACTCATGAATAGACAGTAGCAAGTCTTTAAAACATCTTATTTACCTTAACACATACTTAGCTACATCTCCATATTTGCAGTGTCCTATATTTTTACTTGTACTGCTTTTTCTCCATCCTCCCATTACCAAGACATTACATTTTTTCTTCCTTCTCCCAAATCCCACAAACCCTTCAAAAACATACTCACAGAACTTTGAAGGCTGCTGGAGAAATCTCTTTTTGTTGATATGGTGGAAACATTTGAAACATGTTCTCCAGAAGTTGCATCAATCCATTTATTTTCAGATGTACCTATAATGTTGGTAGCCATACTGGTGAGATTGAGGATTTTATGCCTTACATGTGGCAGGGAAGGCTGGTCTTTGCCCCAATCTTTTTGGTATGTGGAGGATCAAGAAATTGATATAGACAGTAACGTCAAAGAACAGAACAAGAGTTAGTGAAAACACATTAAAATAACACAAAACCACACACAACAGGAAAGGGAGACACAGAAATCAGGTGGAATTTGTGAAGACAGGAAAAAGGGCATTTATGAGCAGACCGCCTTCCCCAAAAATGCACGTGTTAGTCATAAGCCAAGTAAAGTTTGCCAGATGTTTTGCTAATATGTGCTACAGCAGCTCAACATTAAAGAGCAGTTAGTATTCATTGGAAACTATTTCATTAACGTTAGTAAGGATCGAGAAAAGTCTTCCAACTTTATGTAGGCAAGTTACAATGAGACTCATACACTATCCAGGGAAGGGTCATTTTCATGTCCATGCTCATCAGGAAGCACAGAGGGGGGAAGAAAAGGCAGTCCAAACTAAACTAGCAAAACTAAAGAGGCAAAGACAAACGATACTCTTCTCTCAGACTCCATTATTTCTCCCCTCCCACTACTGAAAATTTTATTCAATGAGCTGTTTGCCACTAATCTTACTCTACAGTTGTACTATGTCCTGCAAAGCAATTTGTTTCTTGTCTCTCTCTCACTCTACTTTTTTCTCCCCACTTACTGGTAACTTATTCTACCCAGCTTCCTACTAAAAGAATGTTTTGTATTTATACTGTGAAAGAAGTCATTGGTCACACTTTAAACTCTGCAAAAATTCTTATGGAACTTTGAAAGGGTATTCTGATTAAAACCATGGCAAGTCTAGAGATGCTACAAGGCTATCAGCCAGGATGGAAATACTAGCCAGAATGGGTAATACCATTTTGGAGAGAACAGATTACAGCATCACAGTATTTGGGTCAATGGACAAAATCACAGCACAGAGGTGCCACCAACAAGCTCATACATCATTTGAAATGCTCCCTGAAGAAAGGAACACATGATCCTCATTTGAAGAAAGGGAGCTGGTCATTGAGAGAGAAAGGCTTAAACAGTTATTATGGTCTAAAGAACAGGTCCTCTTTATTCTTGTGGTATGGAAGGAAATTAAATGTTATATACCCTTTTGTGGTGGTTGCACACTCTTTCACTTGTGCATCCTCTCAGAAAAAGGCCAGAGCACAAGAAAGATGTCAGTATTTCAATGCTTTGAAGATTTGCTTGTCAAGACATTTCTAATGCACAAGCAGTTAAAAAAGCCAAGTTGTGTTAAAATGCAACAGACACACTGGCAAACTACTTAGCTTAGATACATATTACTCCTGTAAGGGTAATAAGGACTCTCAGCTGTCAGGTACAGCAGAGACAAAGCTTATTTGCCTTACAGAGCATACTGTATCTGCCTGATGAAACAACTCACCATTCTTTCCGTATCGTCTGACATCCATGACCAGGTTTCCAGTTTCTAGTCCTCTGCTGATGGCTTCTTCCCACTGACTGTAGTCCATATGTGAAACCTTTGTGCCATTGACAGCAATGATCTCATCATCTATATGCAGTTGACAAAGTGCTGCAGGGCTACCTGCAGAAAACAGAAGAAAAATAAAATTATGTCTCCACTCATAATTATTTTTTTATCACAGTTGTGACTGGAGGGGGGTGAGGTGGGGAGTTATTCAAAGAAATGCTTAATGGTCGATATTCAGTAAGTCTTAGAAAAATCTACTACATTTTAATACAAAAATCAGTAAACTCAGTATCAAAGTAGCTTTTCAATTTAGAACTTATGAAAATGACAAAGAGCATCAATCTTTTGGACTTGTAAGTCTTCACATTCTGGCTAGCCCTTTTAATAGGCAACCTTTGGACTCAATCTTGCCTTCACTAACTCACCGTTATAATCTGAGACAGTGAGAGAGAGGCAGCACCACAGGGTCTGCAACAATTAGCTGAAATTCAGCCAATGTTTGGGTAATCCTCCTCTCTGCCAAAAAAACAGCCTGCACTCTGTTAATTCCAGTAGAAGTTGGCTTTCCCATAATCTTATTCACAGTTTCTGGACTCTACTGACAAGAGCATGCTGCGTTATTGCTGTGCTAAAATAGTTCGTTAGCTCTGAATTGACTGGTAATTGGACTCAAGATATTGCTGGGTGCTGTACCACTAGACTTGTCTGGATTCTGCTTATTTTATCAATTGAGAGCAAATTCTATGCAGCTTGGACTTTGAATCTACTGATATTTTGCAAGACAGGCTGCACTTTATACTTTTTTCATCTACAACACATTGGCAGGCAATATTACTAGACTAGGGACAGAGAACATAAAGATCAGTTCATAAACTTTTTCTCTATTTAATTCAGAAAATGGATGAGCTGAGAAAGTCAGACTCTCCACGTATGATTTGATGAATTACACATGAATGGTTTTTCCATTTAAAATTATTCCCTTAGCAGAATGGAAAATAGAAAAGCTAAGTAAAAATGTATTTAAGCACTGAACAATAAACCCTCATGTTAATAAAAAAAAATTTGAACTACACAATGGAAGCATTTTCCAAAGAAAGTAGTGAAATCCACACATCTTATTTAAAATATACCAAGAACAATGCTCTATTACATTATTAGAAACAAATATGTACAAATATGACAGAAGGATTTAGATCATATGCTTCATCCTATCTTCTGTCTATCTGACTCGTTCGTAAAATACCACTCTAAGTCTGGATCATCCACTAAGGATTCCAATAGCTTTTAATATTCCTGGCACATGAAAAAGTTAAGAAATTAACAAATGCTATGCTTCCTAATACTGCACCAAACAGTGATTCGTCATAATTCACTAAAAAGCAACACTAGCTACTATACTAGAAGAGCAAAGCTCCATATTTTATTTTTCTGCATTCTTCTTAAAACATGGACTACAAACTTCATTTGCAGTTAGCAGTAAAATTTTCCAAACACACCAATTGCTTTTAAGTAACACTGTAGAAGAAAAGGTAGGGTTTTTATCTGGGGGAAGAAAACATGGGCAATAGTTAAACTGGAAAAAACATGCATCTCCTTAAAAGCCAGGAAGATGTTAATCTATTAATGTAAGGTACTGTTAAGAATGCTATTGAAGATACTAACACTGAAGTTACCATTTTCAACAAGATCATATAACATTTGGAATTATGTGTGATACTTAGTACCATATAGTTTGACAGCATCTAGACTAAGCCTTATGTTCATGGTAGAGGGAATGCTTCAGGCTCAAGGGGAGTCACCAAAACTGATAATTTCTCTGTTTTGTGTTGTGACAGAACAAGTCCTAGGAAACAAAAAAGGTCATGTTCATCTTACTCAAAAAATTTGTCAGGGATGAGAAGACCCAGCTCAGAGGTGGGAACAGTATATCTCAGGTCAGTTTTATGACACGAAGGGAATTTAAGACTGCATGGTTCTTCCTACACTATTACTACAAAGACATATCCATACCATACTCCAGCCATACAGATTTGAATGAATAGCAGCAGTCTTTAGATTGCACATGTAGACCTAACTTAGCCAGAACAATTTAGGCTACACAGTTTTTAGCATGTAGCTTTGCCAGCTGCTCTTCCTCCACAGTCTGTGAATAAAAGGACAAACCAGGGTGCCTATATTGGGTTTCTGCTCTGATTCAGCTCTAGAGAAGGTGAGAAGCCTGCAGAGACTAGCTAGAAATTTAGGTGCCAAAAGCTGTATGTTGTCTTTCTCTGTCCAGCTTCTCCAAAACTATAGGAATTAACAATAATTTCTTTATATTGCTATAAAGGATTTAGTTTCTGTGATATAAAACATGTACTGCTGTTTTTTGCAAGTTTCCCTGAAGGTAAAAGACTTTTGTTTCTTACTAGTCCCCAGTAAAAACAAAACAAACCAAATATTCATTTTCTAGATGTACTTAGTGTCCTCTAACCTATCCCCATCTGTTGCTATTACAATAGATAAATACAAAGAAAATAAAACCTGAAGGAAATAGGTCAAATTTACTGTGTTCTATGTGACTGCAAGTGTTTGATCACAGAAGTGCATTCTTACATCAAGACAATCTCAAAAAATTATTGCAAAGGGAAACTGAAAGGGAAAAGACTGAAATAATAAAGATTATATGGCACTGTGGAAGTTGGCAGAATGGACTAGATTAATGACTTTAAGGCTGTTTACCTATTTTTTAGTGTAAAAGTTGAAAACTCTAAAAATGAGCACTATGTTCTTTCTTTTTCTTTTATATGTAGTAAATGGGACTCACTGAAATATACGTTATAAGCTTAATTCATATTTAGGTTTTTGAGAACACTTAAATTAATTTTGCCTAGTTTTCTCAACTGTTTTTTTTTTAAAGGAATAGCATATATAGAAGACAGAGTCATTTATAAGTCCTAAAAAGATAAATGCAAGCTATCATCTCAAGAAAATCATACAGCTAGTTAGGATGACAAAACAATCAGAGGAAGTATTTCTGAAGCTCTTTCTGGGATCATGGAAGAGAAAAAGGTGACTAGGAACAGTTGGTTTGGATTTGCCATGTCTAAATCACACTTGACCAACCTGGTTATTTTTAATGATGAATTGAATAGATCTGTGGATGAGGGGAGAGTGGTGGATACCACACACCTTGTCTTTAATAAGGCTATTGGCGTGATCTTCCACAGCATCCTGGTATCAAAACTGGGATTGTATTGTCTACAGGGCAGAGCAACCAGATGGGTGAACAACTGGCTGGGTTGTCAGGCTCTGTGCGTAGCAGTTAATGGCTCATACTCAGCCTAGAGGCTGGTTACAAGTGGAGCTTGCCAGGGATGTACCCTGAGACCTACTCTCTCTAATGTGTTCACCAATAATCAGGAGAAGGAGGTGAAACACACCCTCATCAAGTTTGCAAACCTTGCCAAAAGGATGGCTAAAACACTGGAGGGCAGGGTTGCCGTTCAGAGCAGGAATGTGACATTCAACAAGGCCAAAATGCAGAGTCCTGCTCTGGGATAGACTAACCCCAGTGATGATTCAGGCTGGGCACTGTTGAGCTGGAGAGCAAGGCTGGGGGACCCTAGTAGTGTTGGGGCTATATGAACACTAGCATGACCAACAGGTCAAGGCAGTGGCTATTCTGTTCACTCCTCAGTTAGTATGCCATGTTGACAATACCGTGTCCAGTTTTGGTGTACTGCTGTAAGAGAGATATCAATAAAGTGGGGCAAGTTAAATGGTAGGGCACTGGGATGAGCATGGCTGGAGCAGTGGAGAGGCTAAGAGGTTCAGCCTAGAGAAGAGATGCTGCAAGGGGACCTAACAGCAGCCTCCCCAGTACCTACCAAGAGAAGTCACCGAGTCACTGAGAAGGGAAAGCCTGCTCTTTATTGAAATGTATGGCAGGAGAACACAGCACCGTGGTTATAAAATTGACTGGGACAAAGATTGGTCTGACTGGACATGTGGGGGAAATTTTCTCTGAGAGGATAATTATGCAATGCCCAGGGAGGCTGTGCAGTTTCCATCCTTGGAGGGTTTCAAACCCACATGGGTAAAAGCCCTAGGTAACCTGCCTGAATTGTCTAAACAGTTTTTTGAGCAGGGTTTTGCTCTTGGTGATCTTTCAAGGTTCCTTCCAACCTAAATTACACTATGACATCCTTAAAAACAAGAAATACAACATTGATAAGTGCCTAGCTGAAAGCACATCTTAATCTTTCAATGGGCCATCCACCTCTTTCATCCTTCATTCCTTTAAATGGAGCTACAGGAATTGAATAAGGATACAACATGAGCAAGTTTTTGAAAAAAAGTATGTTGAACACAGGCTATAAACATGTTAACCGTCTCCAAAATTCAAACTGACTAACTAAATTTCCTAACTAATTTTCCTCTGCATTTGTTTACAAATCATATGAAGTGAAATCTTTTAAACTTCACTGAAAGGAACAATCTGGATATTAGAAGTCTGTACGTGCCCCCTACTACTGCTCAGTAAGGGGCTTGGTGAACAAATAATCATGTTTATGCCTTTTCAGTGGTTATAGAAATGTCCTTAATTAGGAAAATGCATTTTTGGCATTTTTGAATTCAACCTGTTTTCAAGAGATGAGGATTCACAGAAACACATTAGCAAACTAAATACTGATTTTTCAGTTCTACACCTGATTTTTTAAAATGTTTGCAGCATTCTTAGCAGCAAATGCCTTAATTTAGAAGCCTCTGCAAACTAAACATAAGAACAAAAATTTGTGCAGTTAATACACATTTACCTTCTTCAACTGTCTGTACAAAGGCTCCTGAAGAACTCCAATTTGTTGTAAACCCAAAGCTGCGACTGTGGCCAGGTCTCTGGTTTATGCTGATTCTCATTTCACTGTACTGTTCCTGAAAAATAAAACATGACACTACAGTATCTGGTATCACAGGAATCCAAATGAGGGAAAGGTTATCCTCTAAATAAGTGAGGCTGCTCACAATGTGCACTTTAATCATCTATTATTAGCATCACAGATAAAGGAAACAGTATTGGAAGTCAGTTAACTAACTCATTTGCTTTTTATTCAAACAGGTGTTCTTTCAGTTCACATTTATATTTTCTCTACACGTACATTCCACTCTGCATTTCTATTAGTTAACACAATGCTACAAAATTTAAGATCTTGGAGGAAATTAAAGCCCTAAATGAGTCTTCTTGGATAGTCTTCTGAATTTGTTGAACGTACCGCCTCCTGAGAGAGCACCAGAGATGTGAAAAAACTAGATACCGGTAATCAATCTCATTTTTTTTCTTGCACATCCGACAGTGAACATCATCATCTTACTTTAAGCTCAATGCTGCAATCAGATTTACTTAAGTGAAAAATTACTCTTTTTCTTTTGTGTGAAAAAAAAGTCTTTTTTTTTGTGTGAAAAAAAAGTCTGTAAGTCTTTTTCTTCACAACACAGCTACTAGCGTGCAAATGCTCCCGTTCAACTCAAGTCCTTAGGTGAGTATATTAAAAGTGAATCTACTAACAGGTTAGCACACTCTGATAGAGAACATACAAACCTTTGGAATATGAGTGTGTTCCTGTCTTCTTATTTTTTTCCACTATCCCAACATGACTCTTCCAACCTATCTCTTGTCAGAGGAGTAATGTGACTTTGTACACTGAACTTCATCATTTGGATAGGTCATCTCTAAAACAGTCAGTGCTCCACAGACCTGGTGTTACTGCCCGGATGACTAGCGAACTATATCAATCTCTCATCTCTGGCAATGATTTACAAACAAATGGAACTTGCATTCCTTAAGTTACAGTTTGTTAAGTTATAACACAACACAAGCTGTCTTTTTTTTTTTTTAATTTTTAAAATAAAACACCCATATTACTCATTTGTAGGAAGGACTATTTATAATCTCTTGACTAATGATGAGGAAAAAAATAATATGGACCTAGTATATGCTATTCTCATTTGCCATGCTGAAAGAGATTCTAAGAAGCCATATCTAATCTATGTTTTCACTGATCAGAACAGAAATTCCTCTGCCTGTTTTTGCTACAAGACAGAAAAAAAAATTATGATCCCTTTCCTTATACATCAATCACAGTTTCAAAAATTTAAGATAAATTCACTGCAATGGCCAAGGGGTATCAGGAACTGCAATATGTTCCTTTTCCACAAGTGATTAGGAAGAAGAATGGTTCAAAGTCATCAAATTTCTGAAAAGATTATATGGGAAATGATTTCATAAATCAGCATCTAAGGTCTTACGACCTTCACTCAAGCACAATTACTGGCACAATTCACTGGCACAATTAACTTTTACAGCAGCATCAGGAATGCAAAGAACTAATCTCTAATCTGTCAAGCGGTATAAAGCACATTCTCAGATATCACAGAAAGGTATCAAAAATCAAAGCTGTTGCTGGTCATTTTTTACATGTGAAACATGCAATCAGTTGGAGGAAACAGCACTTGAAGATACATATTTCAAAAGGAACACAAAGACCCAACTCCTGGATAAGCACATACGCAAAGATATGGCGAATTACTTCAAAATTAATGTGAACATTAATGAGATTCAAGTAAATAGCTAAAAAAAGAGAGAAGGAACTCAAGCCAGATGGAAAAAAGAGGATAGTATGATACTGATGTTTATGGCTAGCCTCAGAAAAGCTGATCTTTATTTTCCTCCACCAGTTTAAAAGTGCAAATGAATGCTAGAGCAGTTCAGGTAATTTATCTAACTGACATACCTGACTGTGTCACAATGTGTTAATTTGAAGAAAAAACAAAAAACTTTCCAAGCGCTAAACAATATTTAGAAAAACTATTTTCATTTAGAATAATAAATAAAATTAAGCACATGGCATATGAAGGGTAGGGAAAAATGCAGCAAAAGAAACAATTTTTTTCCCAAATATTCTCTTTCTCACGAATTAAATCAAAAGAAACAGAAGATCTCTGAGCTGTCTTCTTACTGCTAGAAAAATACTTGCATTAGATGAAATTTTATATATTTTATCTTTTACTCTTCAATTACACCAAGTAATCACATTATTTCCACACTTACCATGGATTTTGAATCCTCAGGCTCTGTTGGACTCGTAATTTCTGCAGAAGATGCAAGTGAAAGAGAATCAGAAGGAATGCCATACTCAGGTTTAAGAATACTGCTTCCAGCATCTTGGTCTTGGGATTTTACAGGTAATGCCAAAGTAGGAGCAGGTGTTGACTGAACACCTTCTTTTTCCTCCTCTTCCTCCTCACCTCTGCTTCTGAATGCACTAGTGGAGAGAGGGTGTGCAGAGTCTGGTTGTGAAAAGGAGACGCTGGTGAACAAAGTTTGAGTTCTTTTAGCTTTTTCTACTTCTCCGTTGTATTTCAGAGTATCATCCATCTAGGAAAAAAATAACAGTTTGGTAAATACGTGTTTCTAAGAAAAATTCTTTAAATCTTTCAGTGATCTTAATATTTAACAAAAACACCTCTCACCCTTTCAAGCAAATTCTGTTTTTTGTACCCATAACTAAAGAAGAGAAACATATTTTTTTCTCTTTAAATTCTTGCAGAATAAATAGGCCAGACTTTTTAAGATAAACTTGTTAAAGTCATCTGCTTAGAATTATTTGCATTCTTACCATTTTTTAAATTTAGACAAATAAGGATTTAGGAGAAAGCTATGAAAATCAACATAGTAACGTGGCAGGGGGAGAATCAATTTCATTTTTTCAGTGCTTTACTGAACAGACAAATTTTAGGCTAGCATAAAATTTCAATTTCAACAAAGTCAGCAGAGCAGAGGAAACTTACATCACCTGAAAAATTCGTCTTTTACCACTCAATTATGTTAACTTAGCTCCAGATAATTACCTCCAACAATGACAGGTTTTTTGTATGGCACACTAAGGAGACTTACACAAGTAATAAAAAGAATATTCTTCCAAATATAGTTACTAGCTTTAATTCCAGGAGTATGTTTAAGAACAGAAACACAAGTAAACATCCAAAGCCATGACAGAACTGCCTGCTCTATTAACACAGCCTTCATCATACAGCAGACAACTTTTTTAAAAGCAACAAAACTTTAAAACTCTACTGTTCCCCCAGCTATTAAAGACCCACATTTACAAACTTCAGGAATGAAGCGGAATTTTACCGTGAACGACCGTGGAAGTGACGAGATTCCTCTTGAGTGGACACCAAAAGGTCTTGGTGTAACCACAGATGTTAACCTAGAGGTATCAGTTTTCTGGTAAGTTCTCGGGAGAGAAGCTGAAACCTGAGCTGACCCAGTTTGAGCATTCACTGAGTAGCGAGTAGACAAAAGAGCAGAGCTCTGCTCCTCTGCCAGGCTCTTTGGCAGAGCAGGAGCTTCTTGAGCAGCCGAGCTCTCTGGCAGGTTCTCCTTGGGCAGCTGTGAGGCATATTCACTTTTGCTGTCCTTAGTGCTGTAGGAAGTATCTTCTTCCAAAAGGTAATCTTTTGCTGCTGACCATGTGGAAGGTGCTTTTTCTTCACTAAACACATCGTCATTCAGTGAATACCTCCAGCTGTGTTCCTGTTTTTGCTGCCCACAGGAGTCTTCATCTCTCCCCTCCCTAGGGGGACAGAGCGTGTTAGAACACCAAAGTGACTCGACAAAGAGGCAGGCCCTAAGTCTTTCAACTACTGAATGTTCAAGGCAGAGCATAAATCGAAAAATACATCTCCAGTAAATTAAAATGAATGGCATAATTTAAAAATATTAGTATTTTCGTATATTTTTAAATCTACCTTCTCCCCTCTCCTCCCCATTTCAACACTCTCATAGCACTCAGGGATACTACTGTCACATTTTCAGGCTGCCGCCATGACAGAAATTTATATTTGCCAAGAAAATTATATAGCCATCCAAATTACATATCCCCAGAAACTGATATTTAATTTAGGAAAGAATGTAAAGAAGGTAGTGCCATAACACTGCCTGAACTCCATAACTCTGGTTGACATTTCTGCTCTGTGAATACACTATGCTGAATTTTAGATAACTAAATAAGATGGTGTCCTGAAGTTCAGACTATTATTCTTTTTGTGCTATTCATTCCTTTGTCATAAAGGAACAACCACCACCTGGATAATCTTTACCACATAATTTTTAAGATTCTGATGATATTGGATATTCAATACAATTAGCATCCATATTTTTATTCAAGCAATTAATTTTTGTCCTCACAACTAAAAAAATACAGAAATCCAAAACATTCTGGGTTTAAATTCATTAAAATTCTTTTATGAATACATGCCATTCTATTTTAATACCTCAACTCAGTCATATGTGCATTTTAAGCAAATAAATAAGACTGTCACCAGTAGAAATGGTACTGTGCAGTTTACACTTTTTACTCTTCAGAGATTAAATACTCAGAGGAACAATTAGGGATAAAGGGAAAATCAAGTAAAAGTTTACAGCTCTGTAACATACATTAAAATTCTGGCTGTAATTATTCACAGTGGCTAAAAGAATAGCAAATGTAGTGGTAGAATAAAGAGAAATAGTTAAGCTTATCCAAGAATAAAAAAGGTAACTATTCAGTTCAACACTATTGTTTTAACTAATTTCAAAAGAATGCAAATATTGACTTCTCAATACATTTATTTATAGATAGCAGAGCAAAATATCATTTATAGAGCAAAACTATTTAACATTCTGTGCAAAGACAGCATTAGTAAACCATATTCAGCCCTCCAATTGCCTAGATTTCTGCACTGTATTTTGCAACTAAAATTGTTGAGATCTCTGCAGAATCAATTGCAACTTGGCTACAAAAGCTGCTCAAGAATTGAAAGGAATAAAAATGCTCAAATTTAAGTTCTTCAACATAATACTCCCATTAGGGCCATTACCTCTCCTGCTGCATTTCTTTCAGTGTCTTGGTACTCCTTCCAGACACTTCAGAGGCTCTCCTTTCAATTTCTTCTCTCTCTTCCTTTTTCTTTTGCAATTCTGAAGTGTAGCTCTTTCTACGATTCTTCCACTTTGCTAGATCCTATTAGAATAACATGAATGTATCCCATCAGATTTTCTCAAGACCCCACAGAAGTACAGAGGCATCTCATCACATGCTACTTATAGCCTTGATTTTATTCGCATTGCTGCATCACAGCCATATTTTAATGTACCTTTCTGCTAAATGATAAAAGGGTTCTCATATTTCAGTTAGGCTTGCAGGCTCACTGCCTTCTTAAGTTAGTAATTTTAATTATTGGACTACATGTGGAAAGGCACATAATTTTGCTCCATTTTTTCCCCTCCTTAGAATATTCAATTTTATTCCAGAATACTTTACCCAGTGACACATAGTTGAAAACTGATGCAAATGCCATCTGTATTTCTTTGTTGAAGGCTTTGGAGTTTGGGATATTATTATTTTTCCAAATCACTATTATGTTAGACTGATACATTAGCTTGAGAATAAACATGCTTTAAATTCTAAATTGAAAACATATATTACTATATTTTCCTCATTTCTGTAAAACCACAATGTGAACTCTAAATAGTGTCCATGAAATACCAGAGCTGAGTTAAGGAAAGTACTGAATATCAGAACTGAGATGGCTGAGATGCATTAAACAAACAACTATGAACTTCTTGTTCAGTGCTTTGTTCTTAATTTCAGTTTCTTTTTGATACTCATTGTATCAAAAATAAGCAGAGATTTTAATAAAATCAAACATCTTCAGATACCATTATGATACTGTGCAAAGCTACCATACAGTTTACAACCCGGATTTAAGACAGAATTATTAAGAGATAGAAGCCTCAAGAATTTGCACAACAAAGTATTATTTCCTCCCCCCTTTTCCCAAAGGATCAAATCTTAAACATTCCAATCATTTCATAAAAAAAAAAAAAGAATCACAAATTTCAGATAACACATGAAGCTATGCCCTAACTTTTCTTTATGTCATCAGAAATCAAGCCTGATGGTTTTATTACAATACACACAAGTCTTATCCTAAAGCATTAATCAGAATCTTATGGCAATATTTAAAATAATTTCAGTTCTGCATTACACAGACACCCCCTAAACCACTGGTAGATGCACGAGATGGATCATTTTAGAAGACAGCCCATGAATTGCTGCACACATGCCAAAGTTTGTTTACAAGGGACACTGAAGGCAGTCCTTCAAAGTAGGACATACAAAGAGAGGTGAAAAGGAGTCCTTACTTCTTGCCACTTTAGATCTTGTTCTTGTAACTGTTCTTTTATCTTTTGTAGCTCTTCATAACGGATTTTGCGCAATGACTGCAGCTCCTCTGCACTGACATCGTTCAAAGATTTACTCCTAGGAAGAAAAAACAGCACTCAGCTTTATAACATCTTAGCTATCATTTACGCAAGTGAAACCTTCAAAGGGGGAGAGATTTCTATTAGTAGAACTGAGTGCTCAAAAGTGTTATTTCAAATAGAGCAGAAAACACATGGGCAGCTGAATGAACAAGGCTGGGACATGCTCTAGCGCCAGCACACAAGTCATTAGTTGGACATTTGAGCAAATAAAATCAGGTTAAGGGAATAAGCAGCTCCATAGCAGTTCCATGTTGATCATTCACATTGAGCTTCTCGTATCCAACTGCTAGTTCTGTTCAAACTTATTATTTGTATTGATCTTGTTCCTTCCTTTGACACAAAAGGCATTGCTCCCTCCCTGAGTCCAAATTCCCATCCTTTGACTTCTCTCCTGTAACAGCCCCACTATCACCTCCCGTTCTTTTGTTGCTTAAGCTAAGCATGGCTAACATAGCCATCTTCTTACTGATTTCTTCAACATGGCTACAAGTTTCCCGAACTTCTACTCAAAGTAGAAGTTCGGGAAAGTTCATCTTTCATGCTCCCTCCCCTGCCCTATGCTGTTTTTTCCTTTATTCTTTCACACTACATATGATAAACATAACAGGATATTTAATTCAGATATAGAACAAGACTCCTGCTCAGATTTGACCACAAGCCTCTGAGACACTAAACCAAATGCAGGTGCTTCATTGTAAGGTTCAATGCTGTAATATATAAAAATGAAAGCTAGTTTCCTGAGGTTTGAGGTTTTGTTGTTTGATTTGTTGAGGGAGTTTTGTTTGTTTGTTTTCAAAAATACCTTTGTTTTCATTTATCCGAAGTATGAATGATGGGAGGTGTAACCAAGTTCTAATAGGACTTGAAAACATGGCACTTCTCTGATATGATGGAAAATCAGATTGAAACCTAAACTGATTCAGCACAGAGCCTTGCTCTAATCTGTTACATTCCAACAGAGGTCTGAACTAACAAACCAGACTCTCACTTCCTCCCAAGAGGCCCAATTCACTTTTGTTGGTAACATAAGACTTTGGACTTTGGCCTCTAGAAATAAAGACAAAGGCATTAACTCATTGTATCTGTTTGCTTGTCTATTTTCTGAATGGGAAGAGTGCCAAATTTAGCAAAAATCTCCTGGTCACTATTGCAGAAACTCTTGTACAATTCTTTTCCTCTTTTTTTATGCTTAAGTTACATCACATGTAGAAATGGTTTGGGGTAACCAAATTCTACATAAAAGTTGTATCAAATTTATTCCAAGTGAGTTCAAGAACACTTTTATAACTACAGTTTCCACTTATTTCTCTTGAGTTATTACATCTGCCTGCAACAAAATAAGAAAATCTAGACCTAAATACAATGTACCCTAAGTACAGTTATATTCATACCAAGAAACAGGATGTTAGTTTTAATTTTAGTCTAGACTTAAAAATCTAACTAGTGACTTGAGTCTTCTGAGTCTCCCTCCCCTAACATTTAACAACTTCTGAGACACTTCTTGCTTCTTCTGGAAGTATTTAGTAATTTATCAGCTCTGCCTCAGAGTAAAAATAGAGAAGTAAACAAATAAATACATTTACATTAAAAAAAATAATTAGAAACCAAATACCGAACATGTCATCACAAATTAAGTGGAAAAAGTCTTTCTCTTTGACTCGCAGTACATCATAAACAACATCTAAGTTCACATGACACTAACCAATAAATTTATCACTGAGGATTCAATAACCTGGAGGATATAAAATAACAACCGACCATTCTCCAATCCCATGATAAATATCATGTTGTTAATTATTTTCAGGTTCTAGGTGTGCAGCTTTCAAAACAAAATGTGTACTGATCTTCCTTTACATTTTTCAATGTTTTAAAGTCTAATTTAAATACAGAACGTCAAATACTTCAGTAGGAAGAAAATATTAGACCTGATTTTCAAAGTGCCTGATAACTATAACTTGGATACACCAGACACCACAGAGAACTTTTGCCATACACACAGCTTTTAGTCCTCTACATTCGTTACGTAAATTGCCAAAGCACAGAACAACAAAGCATCATGCACAAGTTGTTTTCAGCATAAGTTTTTAGCTACTGTGCATGCATAAAGATGTAAAGAGGGAAAAAAAAGGCATAATGATCTTTCAAGCTTTCATAAAACTTACCCTTGCTCATCAGAAAGCTTTTGAAACAGTCTGAGAAATCAGAAACCAAAAAAGAAAAGATTCAGTGTCTTGAAATTGATAACACTCACACCATTAGTATACCAGCACTCTTACTAAGTAAAGTGAAAACTGAAAGCCTGGGAACCAGCCAGCATGGAATAGCACATTGGGAATCGGACACTAGTCAAAAAACACACCAGGACTTGCATGATATGCAAGTTGGGCAGAACTGACAGAATAAGGCTGCCTGCAAGTTTCAAACACTTCTGATTTAGCAATACTGCACGAATAGAGTCTTGTATTAATTCTGCACCACTTATTCCAATGCTGCTGAACAGCATGATGCTCAAAAGAGACTCATTTCAAGAAAGTGAAAATTTCTCAAAATTAATGCCAATTTGAGTCCCAACAAGAAGCGTGGCTTACAGAGGCTGCCTTCTTGTTACTTCAAGCATTTCTGATAGTAAACGAAAGTAATATTTGGCTTGGACAAGAATAAAAGGCCTTATATAGACATTTAGCAAATTAAGTCGTGAACGCAATTAATCAGGGTAATTACAGAAGATTTTTTAGTATTTTTAAATATATTTTATGATACAGGTATTTTATGCTGTTGAATGAATTCTTAAAATGTGCAATATTTTCAAGCACTTCAAAAATATTCCTCAGTGAAGCTTGCATTTAGTTACAGTATTAAGCTTAAAAATTAAATGCAGCAACATCAAAGTATCAACTGGAACACAGAAGTGTCTTAGTCACAAAGTAATGATGCATAGCTGGGAGAACTGCAACTTGCAATGCCGTATTTTCAGAGCTAAGGAAACATTTGAAACTCCACTCTCCCCCAGAAAGCAGAAAATTCAAAGGAGAGCTAGGAAGTAGTTAAGAAATAGTTTTCAGTCAGACGAGAAATTTTGAGAATAACAGGAAAGACTTAGCATTAAGTATGAATCAGGACTGTATGAAAGTAGGTGGAAAATACTGGCAGAATAAAATATGTCACAGTGGAATTTAATATTATATAGACATACAACTTGCATGCACCATGAGTTCAGGCAGACAAAACACTAATTTTTTTCTTCACTTCATCTAATCATCTCAGAACTGTGGCAGGACAGTTTACGAGCATTTTCATACTTAGGTGCAAGCAAGAATATCAGAATGCCCATTTCCAGAATTTGTCATTAAAGAATTAATGTGTTTCAGAAATGTTTTCACCTATTATCTTGCAAAATAAAAGGAAATATTTCTAGCCTCCAAAGACTTTTGAATAATCACTATTCCTGTTCAACCATTGAAAGAAACTTATGCAGAACTTTAGCCTGATGGAACGATAACATATTTTCTCTATAGTGGCAGCCTAAAATTAGAAAACATTATATTTTTTTTGTTGAAAATATGGTATTGCAGTCATGGGCTTTTATTCAAAGCAAATAAAAAGCTTTTTCCAGGACGACATGAACAAACAGCAGATTGGCACTCTATGAATGGTTCAGCACAAGACGAGGCTTTTCTGAATGGAAAGGGTTCAATGGCACTCAAGCACAATCTGTGCAGGACACAACCTGACCTCTCCACCATCTGCCGTTTCTTGTGTCTAACTTTGCTGGCCTCCCTGATTGCTTCCCACTTCTTCCAGTCTTCTTCACTGCATGGACCTGGGATAAAATTTACTGGCTGTATGTTGCCTCCAACCTTCCAAGATTCAATCTTGCGGGTCAGCATATCATCCTTCTTATGGTGGGAAGATGGTGACAGTACTCTGCCATTGCTCTTTCTTTCCTCCAGTGTCGTGTTTTTTTCAAGTAAACATAGAAATTTGGATCGGATCTCTTCTGGAAGACTCCATGGATCAGGAAACAGTGCTGGGTGATACTTGTCAGGAGCACCCGACAAAGGCACCTCTTTTTTCTGAAAGAGGACTTTACGGAAAATCATGTCATCCTTTTCCAAATCTGGAATCACAGGTTGGCCCTCTCTGGGTTGCAGGATTATCTCACCCTCTAGAGGAGGCTCTTGATCAGAGAATTTTTTTAAAAACCGAGGGTCTTGAAGAACAACTTGATTCACATGGAAAGCCCCGGTTTTCCGAACGAACAAGTCGTCATTTTCCAAATCTGGATACAGATATCCATTTTCTTCATCTCTTTGCTTGCATCCTGGTATAAAGGAAACATTCTTTCTACATTTTATGAGCCTAGGGCCAGAAGTGGGATCAATTTTGGTCTCCGTTTCAGAAGACATGTAGTCAGAGTATTTTTGCAGGGCCTGAAGTAACGAAAACTGACTGAAGCATATAAAACAAAAGGAGGGAAGTAAAAATATCATTAAGCAGCAAGAGACAAGCAGATCACAATGTATTGTGATATACATTTGGTTTAGACTTGCAGTATCCCAAGCAGTACAACTACACCACTTGTCATCCACCACCACGGACTGTAGCACAGCACACGTCAACCAACGCAAAGGTATCACAGCATACTAACCTGCTCAGAAACATCACGCCTACATGCTCACACACAAAGCCAGTAACCCTATGCAGCATGTTATACTTCCACATCTATGTGTCTCAGAAGACCAGCAACTTACAGCTACACTAAAAGAAAAAATAAATCAAAACCACAACAGCAAAAGAGTAATAACCAAAAAAAGCACGACATCATGGGACACGGTTTAATTTCATTTAGCTGTTGCACACCCAGACATTTCTTTTTGATGCAGCAAGAGAACAACTCATGCAGCAGTATCAACCTGGGCTGATCAGAAGACTCCATGATTTTTCCTTCTGCAATCTGTGACAATGAGCTTCTCACATATTCAGCAGTTGGTTTATAGCTCTGATCCCTTCTGCAACTATTGTTCCAGTCAAAAATTGGTCTTGGTTGATTAGCAACAATGGTACAGCTTTGTTTGTAAGCAAATTCCTCATCCTCAGAATCTGATTTCTTTCTACTGTACAGCAGCACAAAGAATGAGCAGAGGGAAAGAAAAAAACCCATGAAGTGTACTCATTGAATAAAATGCACAGTTGGCAAAAATGCAACAGTACTACAAAACCAGTATTTCAACTATTTTCTAAAAAAAAAAAAAAAAAAGAAAAAAGAAAAAAGAATAAAACTATCCTGCTGCTATACGGGCAATGAAAATAAAAAATAAAAAAATAAAAATAGGGTCACAGAACTACACTTTATTTATAGGCTTTGCACACAGGAGAGAAACAGGCATGCATCAAAACGCACCTGAACCCTTGAATCTCTTTATACCAGGGTTTAAAAGAGGATTTCTTGATTTTTTTCCATAGCAATTCTTCTTCTGGAGTCCAAAACTTAGGAAGAAATTTGTCAAAAGCAACAACTGTATGTGATGCTGAAGAACTTAGTTTGCGAAAATAGAAATCATCTTTTTCAATGTTTGGGATGCCTACTTCTTCCTCGTCCTCATCAAAATACCCAGATAATTCTGAAGGATTGTTAACTCTTGGTTTGTTTTCCTCTTTAGTATCCAACTGCCTGTGCCTCCTCTGGTTACTGTTCAAAATATCCAATCAGTTAAGATATTTTAGGAGCAACTTGACATAAATAATGCAAAAAGACATGCTTTTTGGCTCAGGAGTTCAGCCTTGTGAATGAAGCGTATTAGTTCTCAATTCCATCACTGCAGCACCAGAAATAATAAGATATATTAAATAAAAAATAAAATTAAAAAAAAAGTTAAATGGTTATATCAACATCATATTTCCTCTGACAAAAATACAAAGTTTGACAGAAAAGGCATATTAAATTATCAGCTGTGTTAAAATGCTGATTAGAAGGCTAACTTTACAGAGTTATTAATGGACTGCAATAGTTACTGGATCTTGGATTAGTATCTCTGACCTCAGTGGTTCAAGCACTGCAGCTAGTGGACCAGCTGGATAACTTTCTTGCGAGCAAGATTTAGGAGAGTCATTGCGCAACACGAAACGGTGTCCAGGTGCAGCAGAGCTTACAGGGCTCTTTTTGACTAGAAATCTACGTTTTGCTAAGTCATCCAAAACAATATCAGGCAGCCTTCTTTCATCTTCTGAATCAGACCCACTGTCATGCTCATAGACCATCTGGAGGGAAGCTGGATTTGTGAGCCCACACTCTGCTCTGCTATTTTGGCAGGAAGCTACGGGATTTGTTTCATGTCCACTGAGGTTGACCAAAACAGGAACAGAATGAAAACAGTGAAGTCACAAAGGATGAAACCCAAGAACTGCCCACTAATCTCATTGGTATGCATCAAGAAGCCGGACAACTGAAATTCATCACCATATTTCGGAAAGGGTTTAGTGAGAAACTAAAACCGTAGGTCTATCACTCGTGAACTTGCATTTAAGATCATTTAAATACCCTCTACCTGGAGTCTGATCAGCTTCAAAGCATTACTCAAACATAAAAAAAAACCCAAAAAACCAAAATCAAAAACACCAACCGCACAACCACACCAAAACATCCCCCTGGTTAAAATACTGAAAATCAAATACTTGACTTTGCATTGCAGCAACAGCAGCTGCAAATCATTTATTTTAAAAAATTCTAAATCAAAGCCCACTTTACTAAGACCACACACCAGTACCTTGAAAACGTTCCATCTGACTCGGTGAAGACAGGACTTGCCCAGCTCCTCCTATTGTCCTCATTCTTCTCTGTCCTCTTCTTCCTTAATGGTGCTGGCACATAAGCCGTCTGCTTGTTTTTATTGGGTAAGAAGCGATTGAAGTCAGTGGTAGGTTTTGGTTCAATCACAGATATCCTACGGTAAGACCTGTCATCTTTATGGGAGTCATGCATTTTGAAAGGCAGTTCTGAGTCTGTGTCACTGTCACAACCTTAGAAGAAAGGGGAGACAAGGGAAAGCACAAACATTATTCTCTAGACACAAGCTTCTAGCTAGAGCTTGGATCAAAATCTTCTAAAATTTAACTCCATATTTGAGATGTTCTGGCTGCAAATTTGCTGAGCTACTGACAGGACAGTAGGATAGGTATTTTTAGAAGTTTGTGGCAAAGCTGCAATACGATCCATTAAGCTCAATTTGGTTTGCATGACCCTGCTACATTTGTTCCATTCTTTCATTATCACATTCTTTCGTTATCACAGGAAACAAAGTGCTAACCTCTAGACTGAAGACATGAAAGAGCATATAAATTTTTAATTAAATAATATTTCCCATGTAAATTTACTAACAAAAACAAGTTAACAGCAAATAGTACAGCAACATGTTTGTCTCACCAGATTAATGCCCAGTAGAAGCCCAGGGTATATCATGTACTGAACATGGTTACATGTTGCTTTGCTCAGATAAGAAATGTTCCACGTGGCCTCTGCCCAGTGATTTAGTTTTATTCACATGAAACAAAATCCAGAAGCTCACACTTTTTATAACTTTAGACTACAAGTTTGTATTGAACTTTAAAATGGCAGAGAAACACAGGTCAGAATACAGCTTTAGGGATTCAATGTCACAAACTGTCTTCTTGTTACCCTTATTTCCATGATATTTCCTATCAAAAGTAACAAATACTATTCAGTATTGAATATTGAATAGTCACAAATGAAGTGAAAACATAGAAGTTTGACATAAGCACCCTAGGAACAAGGCAAGAGACTTTTGCAACTGGTGAATTTTAGGTGATGACATCAAGATCTGATTTCTACCAGTTTTCTTTACTGAACACTGCACATACACACACCCTAAGGCAGCAGTGAGAGCAAGATTTCCAGTAACCCTTCCTAGGAAGATTTGTGTGAGCAGTGCTTTGTTTCTACCAACTGTTAAAGGTCAATATTTGCTTAAGCAAAATGCAACTGCAGCAGTTTCAAAACCAGAGCCGACTTTCAAGCCAATTTAAGTACTGGACACCCAAGTACTAGCTCCACACATTGTCTTCTCCTATACTCATATGACACATGTCAACAAAAGATTTTAAACATAAAAACATACCTTCACTGCCACCTTTTAAGGTTATATCTGACGAAAAGCTTGTGGAGGATCTTGAACCAAGAGAGTCCAAGCTATCAAAAGAATCGTCTCTTTTATGGCTAGCTGAAGACGAAAAGGGCTCTCCCCGGTCAACGTACCAAATATCACCGTATCCACTATCCCTGCCACTTCTGTTCAGGTGGCTGGATTCTTCAAGTGCCTAGGAGAGTAAGTTTTGAAAGGTCTTTTACAATAATTTAAGGTGCAAATGCTACTCATGAGTTATAACTCAAAAATTTTTAAAATGCGTTTTGAGTTCACAAAAAAACTTCAACAAAGACTACTGCAAACCTCTAAAAACAACACATACAACAGCTTGGATAGGAGATTCAATACAAGGTCTTAAATTTCTCTTATTTCAGCCAAAGGGAATAGAAATTGGGCTATTCACAATCTACCACATTAATCAGAGCAGGTGGATTCTGAAATTCATATGGGTAGCAGAAGAACCAATGTAAGCTAAAAATCATTCTTTTCACATGGACCTTGATAGCAAGCAAAACAAATAAAATAAATGACTATGTTGTCCAAACTAATAATAAAATTAAACCCCCAAGAGACTGTTTAGAATTGATGCTGTAATGTATAACAAACTACAAAATTCAGGCTATTTGTTTAGTGTCCTTTTTTGGATTCCTTACCTTAGTCAATGCTTGCCCTAATAAATTCTCAAAGGCTTTAAGACTGAGGTATGGACCATTATAATGGGGGTTACTTTGAGCTTTTCTCCCAAGCCAGTATAATGTAATCAAAACCTAAAAACAAACAAACAAGCAAAAAAACTAAATACAAACTTAATTACTTTCCTCTCATGCCACATACCAGTATAAAAGAACCTCAGCATGCTGCTAGAGATGTTTGGACAATGAACTGTAACATCTTGTTTACAGTATTAGCTATGATTGCCACCAAAAACAATGAAGGAATGTTATGATGCATCTAATGTATGTCCAGTAAGCTGACAAAAGTACTGTTTCCAATAATTACATTGATTTGGGCAAGTAAGCTGCATAGAGATCATCGTAAAATGGTACTAATTTATATCAGATAAATGAACAGATGAAGAATAAAGTAAACATGATAGTACCATAAACAGAAGTGTTTAAAAATAATTAATCAGAATTAGTGTGAAATTGTTTCAGAAAATATTGAAGTAGATGTGTCTTACATTTTTCACTCTTCTGTTGGTTTCCTCCGGTCTGAAGTAGGGTAGAAAGTGAGGAAAAGAAAAGAAAAGAAAATCTTTTAAAATAGCTGACTTAAAATGTAATCATTATTCAAGATTTAAAAGGTTTCAAGACCAAATAGCAGTAAACATAAAATATGAAACTATGACTGTTCCAAAAGAAATAAAAACATTTCACTTTGAATACATAGGCATAACTCCATACTATTTCAATTGTTACATACAGAGTGAGAAACTAGCTGATCTATTGCAGTTTCTGTTTTGAGAGGTACACAGAAAGGTTCTATGATTTTTTAATTACCTTTAATTTAGTTACTGACAAAACAGAAGTGGAATACAAGCTGTTGACTTTGGGAAATATAACCTCTATTAGCCAGGAAGATCACAGAATGGTTTGGATTGGAAGGGGTCTTGAAAATCATCTAGATCCAACCCCTCTGCCATGGGTAGGGATACCTTCCACTAGACCACATTGCTCAAAGACCCATCCAAGCTGGCCTTGAACACTTACAGGGATGGGGCATCCACAACTTTTCTGGACAACCTGTTCCAGTGCCTCACTACCCTCAAAGTAAAGAATTTCTTCCCAATATCCAGTCTAAACCTACCCACTCTTTCAGTTTAGTCATTTCCCCTTGTCCTATTACTACATGTCCCAGTAAAAAGTCCATCTCCAGCTTTCTTGTAGGTTCCCTTTAGGTGCTGGAAGGCTGTGACAAGGTCACCTTGAAGCCTTCTCTTCTCCACACTGAACAACCTCAGATAGTCAATTCCGTATGAAAGGAGATTTAATTGTAACTTTTTCCCTGATTGTATTGTTTTCTAAGATATTTGTCTCAAACACAGAGAACACTTTAGCCTAGAGAAAATTTTTCAGATCAAAAAATGAGGAACTGAAACTGAGACATCTGGAGAGAGATGCTGTATGGTGGGTAGAAGGGGTTTGGTTTCTTTTATACAAATATATGTTTTTCAAAAAATATTAAATACATATGCAATCACTAATATTAGTAAAATCTTCTTTTATATATATACCCAGTCTGTAGCACACCTTGGAAGTGCACCAGCAGACATTCACAGTGATTCTGTTGTCTTCCTGCTCATTTTAAGAACAAGAAGAAATTTTTTGAATGGGGGGGCTCACAAAGGTGGGGTAACACAGACCTAGTCATCAGATGCAAATATTCAGGGCTGAACTGCAGACAGTGGCTGAACAACACTCCTGCCCACAGTGCCAGCACTTATGGAAGGGTAAATGGCTTAAATACATAGAAACAACTTCTCACCTGCCCCAGATGTTGGTTTGCAGCTGGTTCAGCTGCAAGATTCACACACAGCACGGTGAAGGGGTTCAAACAAAAAAGAAAAGACTTCACATACAGCAGCAGAAAGACCTGTGCAGAGCCCCATAACATGCCAGACCAACAATGTAATAGGGCACCTATCCTGTTCCTGCTTGTCTAGGAACAAGCCAGTCAAAGGTTACAGGAAAAAGGTAGAATAAACCATTAAACCATAGGAGACTGTCACAAGTTAGTGAAACGATGACAGAGCCTGGCCAGCTCTTCACGGAAATGTAATGTTCAATGCGACGTGACAATCATCATGGACGCAGACCGTCCCCTCCTTCTCTTTCCTCCTAGTTTGAGAGTACCCACTTCCACCCTGTGTAACTGTAAGTGCCTTGCCCATCTCCACATCCTAAAGAAATCAGGCTACCAGGCATGCAAAGTCCTGAGATGGATCTGACCTGCACCATCCTTGCCTGCAGCTTCCTTAATATTACATGTCAGAGATGCTTCTGGCTTTGTAGTCAGTGACTTCTTTCTCACAGATAAGGAGGAACTCTTCTCCTTTAATCTTAAATATTTCCATGTTTGTTTTGGGTTTTTTGGTTTGTTTTAATCCCTTCCAAAACAAATTGCTATTCTTCTTTCACTGGAGACTATTTTTGAAGAAAAAAAAATTTCCTCTTCATTTTTTTCAGTAGGTTGACTTCTTTTCCAGTGTCCATGTTGCTGGACACACCATGGCTGTGACCTAAGGTGTTACTAGAGACAGACCGATTTGCCAAGCAGAGGATGGCAAACTATTCTTGTGGTGGTGTGCACCAACATTCCACTTCCCATAGCCAATGGAGAGCATTTTAAAGGTTCACATTCTTTACCTTCAAAGTCTTTCATTAGCAGAACTTCTGCCTTTTTGCAATTATAAAAGCAGAGGCCATGCATGCCCTTGCTAAGGATGCCTTAAAGTTTTCTTCCAAACTTCAGCAGCCCAGTAAGGATGAGAAATTCTGCCCTTAGCCAGCTGAAGCCTATATCAAAAAGGCTGCCAACCTTCACGAAGACCAAAGCTAGGTAACTGAACATGATGATGTCCACACCTTCTTTCCTTGAGTTCTCTGGGATAATTTCAGTCAATCATTTTGCAACAGAGCAATATTCAATTGTCTTTATATTTCAATATATTTTCTATACTGGAATAACCATAAATACACTAGGCCTGTGTGCTTGGGCTATAAAGAACACAAGTACTAGGACATTCAGGTAAACCAGTCAGTACAGTTGAGACCCAAAATGCAGGCAGGGAGATATTTCACATACTCGAATCACAGACCATGCTTTGTTCACATGTTCACTCTGCCAAAAACAGAAGCAAACTCACAAGTTGTTTACTCTTCATGCGCAAGGTTTCTTCCCTTGCATTACTACTTTCCTCCTCTGAACTACGTCTATTGTTTTCTAAACCTTTTCAACAACTTGTCAGAATAGACGCAGTCTGAGCAGAAGGACTGAAGGGGTAGCCCACTTGCTGAATCAACGCAAATAAATCTTCATCAATGCAAATAAATGTCAATCCTACATTTGGCTACTGTGAAAGAAGTCTGCTTTTGGATGTTTTCATCCAAAATCATCACAGAATCCAGTTGGTGCCAACCATCTTTATGAAAATATTCTGTGTAACCCAATTTCTGGCTTGAATAAGTGAACACCACTATGCTGAAAGTTACAAGCAGGCTGCTGCTTTTCTCAGAAGGGCCCTGCCAAGGCTGCATGTTAAAGTCAATCTACTGAAAGAAGTCAGTTCCTCTCCAAATGACAATGCAAACAGTACTTACTAAATCACTCCGTGTGTTTTTAAACACAAACTTCTCTATTTTCACAGAGGTTTTTTATACCTCCTTTTGTTAACAATGCAACTTTGCTAAAGATGTCTGACCGAAGTAAGAAAGCTGCTAAAGAGAGTGGTTAAGATCTTGCTGGAAAAATTTTACTACAAATACTTCATCTCCTCCTGCCACAGTCTCAGCATTTAAGTATTTATTTTGAAGCTTAAAAAAAACCCAACACCGATATTCTGCATTACCTAACCTAACCCCAATACCAAATTCCAGCTAACAAAGAGGTCTCAAAATTGTAAAGGCCACAAGATAACACGAATGGGATATTATAATTGTGAAGCACAACTGCACAAATCCAAGTTGAACACTGATAAAAAAGATGTGAAATAACCACCTGTGGAGAAATAATACCTTCTGTGTAAACCATATCATCTACGTCAATCCTTTAGCAAACAGAAAAGAGACAAATGAGACAGAAATAGCTCTCACTTGTCAGTATGTGATATGCTTAGAGACCAAATACCACTGTTACACTTGAACACAACACATATTGACAAACATCACTTACTCCCAGCCAGCATGGACCAAGAGATGTTTCTCTAACGAGGACCACTCTACAAGAATAAAGCAAAGTGAGACAGCAGATCAGCACACTGAGCCACAGCTCAAGGAATTTATTCTCAGCTCCACTGTTTGCTCAAGGTTAAATAGCAGAATTAGTCACCAAGGCCCTAGCCTGACAATACAAAGGCTTTGGCAGCAGCTTGGTTTAAGGATTTCCTGATCTCCCTTTCCCTTCCAGCCGCTCCTATTTGCTGCCTCCGTGGTTATGCCAACACAACTCTGAATCACACTACCATTCCATGCTGCCCATTGGGACCAGAGGGCTGCACCCATTTCTTTGTTTGGGTTTTTTCTAATACACATTTTCAAACCCCAAATTAACTTGCTGGTCTGTTTTAGTGCATGATCATACAAGCAACTGCACCAGCACCATGGCAGAGACAACATGCTGCTGCAGTGGAGCGAGCAGGGGGCTGGTGAAGGAGGACTCTGCTCCGCACACCGGTACCATGAGAGTCCCTGTGTGACAACACCCCAGCCAGAGGTGCGCTGTGCTTCCCATTTCTGAGGAGCAAGCAAAGTTTGGTAGTATTATATTACTGCAATTTGGGGTATTTAAATTTTTTTTTTTTAATTGTAGATAATCAAAGACCTTACAGGAGCTAGCAGATCACAGTAATTTAAGAAATCATCCTTACAAAAGAGTAGTGCATTTTAAGAAGCTACCATTTATTTCTGACTTATTTCAAAACTTTTAAACAACAGACTCAATAGTCTGGATTTTTCTAATACATTGTATGGTCTGGTTCCCCCACATCCTAAGGTACTAAATTCCAGCCTCTAGAAACTCATGATGTCAAATCTACTTTGACACTTCACTTTATTATTTTCCAGGAAGAACATGAATGTAGAGCTCGAGACCAAATTGAAGATACCCAGAACTCTGAGAAAGATTCTGGAAGATTATTTTACAGCATCCCATTCAGAGAATGTGGTTTTCTAAGTGTCTGTTTCTTATATAGAAACACTTTTAAATATACATATCAAACAACAATTTAAAAAAACCAAAACCAACAAACAAGCAAGTTTGAACAGAGTATCCTCCTCCCCTAAACAAGGGTTAGCTGCCAAGAATATGTGTGGTCATGACCAAAGAGATAAGACAAATCTGAACCCATTTAAGGGAAGAAAGAAAGGACGGAGACACTCCCACTGACAGAAAGGAATGTGCCAGTGACAAATGCACCCTGCCCGGTGCCAAACCCATTCCTTGGTGACAAATACTTCAGAAACCCCAACAGCTGCCAATCTGTTTTCTTCCCTTG